TCAGGAGGCGACTGGACACGACGGCGACAGAGTATCTATCGCGCGTGGAGTGGTTGCGATAAGTTGGAGGTGGCGGCGGGAGGGCTAAGGAAAGGGCCGGAGTAGGTGATGAATCGGTGATGGTGACGGCAACGACTGCGGGCGTGGCGATGGAGAGTCGGCTCCCTAGAGGCTGTAGTCGTTCGCAGTGACTGCCCGTGCCACAATCGCTAGCGGTGAATTGGGAACGGATCGTTATCGGCCATGCGATGCGAAGAGCGCTGGTGGTCAAGCAACAGACTCGGCGGGATGGTCAGGGAAGGGCAGTGAATGCGAGTGCGTGGCCGAGGGCTGAACGGGGGAGGTGCCGGTCTTCAGGCGGATAAAGGCCGCAGAGGCGTCGCTAACGTCGCCGGCAGGTGCCAAGGATGACCGGCAACCAGGCCCATCAATGATGACAGTAGAAGGTTAATGGTACGCCAGTGTGGCGTTTGGGTCAGTGGCGAGTGGTAGGTATGAGGTTGTTTGTATAGTGAGGGGGAGCGTCGTGAAAGCGCTGGGTCTTGCTTGCGATTCCACCATGCACATGTCACAGGCGCTGTCCGCGCAATGCACCCCAAAGCAGGGTTTCTGCTTTGGGCCGCATGGATGCCGTCGCATGCAGGTGCTATCACACTGTAAACTTGCTGACAGCCTGATGCGGTGATGCATAATCAACACGACTGCATTCACTCACTACCACAACTGCAACACAGCCTCAGTCTCACATCGCAGGACCAGAGTTCAGTGTCGCAAGACAGGCCGTCTGCTCACTATTGCGTAGACATGTCGGATCCCTGCCCTTCCGGTGGAGTCTTCCCCGCTAACAAACTGCGCGTATCCACATGAACATTGTCCACCACTGGCAGCAGCCCGACTCCCCTGCTTCTGCACCATTGTCTCTGCTCGGCATATCTTGGAACCATCTGGACGGAACGCCTTTTTCACTTACCGTGCAACTCCCTCGATCATCACTGCCAAAGCCCGTCCAACGTCACTAGTCCGCTCTTCCAGCACTGCACTGCCGCAACCATGGCGGAGACTGCCGAGCCCAACCCAATCGTCTTCTTCGACATCACCCTAGGAGGTATGCATCCACCCATGTGACCCAGTAGTGGCTACCCCTCACCCCGCGCCATCTACGCGTCTTTCTTGGCCTAGCCCACAGTTGGGCAAACGCCCGCGACCCGACCATGGTGACTGACATAAGCGAACAGGGGAGAAGCTGGGGAGGATCAAGATGGAGCTATTCAGAGATGTAGTCCCAAAGACTGCTGAGAACTTCCGCCAGTTCTGCACGGGCGAGACCAAGAACAGCCGGGGACAGCCGCAGGGCTACAAAGGCTGCAAGTTCCATCGCGTCGTAGGTAGCATCACAGTGCATTATCTTTCACATGCTAAATGACCATAGATCAAAGGCTTTATGATCCAAGGCGGCGACTTTGTAAATGGCAACGGAACTGGCTCAAGAACTATCTGGGGGACTGAGAAGTTTGCCGATGAAAACTTCACCCTGAAACACGACAAGCCCGGTCTTCTATCCATGGCTGTAGGTTTTCACAGCTTATATGAAGTCCTCATACTAACTATTGCAGAACTCAGGTCCCAACACCAATGGTTCCCAGTTCTTCATCATCACTGCGAAGAATGGCACCCCTCATCTGAACGGCAAGCACGTTGTCTTTGGCAATGTCATCGAAGGCATGGACGTTGTCACCAAGATCGAGAATACGCGAACAGTAGCCAACCCGGAAGGGAAGCCAGTGCAAGACATTGCCATTGCACAATGCGGTGAGATGTGAGCTCGTAGATCATACAACAAAAAGACGCCAATCCTCGAGGTAAGATCTCAGGTAGGATCTAAAGAATCTATTATAAGCCTGAAACGCATTGTTTGATCAAACGAAGCGCGAAGAAGAACAGTGCGTGGTGGGGCCAGTGCGAGTAACCAGTCTGTATCGACTTCGCGAAGCTGTGGTTATCCAATCCTGATACAGGCAAGCGATGGATAGGAAACTAAATACATTTCTACGATTTCAAATGAATCGCATCATGCGTTGTTGCAGTGATTGGGTGTTGGATCGGCGAACCATGGTGAACTACTGGCTTACCTAAGTGACCCGCTGAAATTCTCTCGGGCTCAATACTTCGCAGCACAGTCGCGTGCGTTCACCCCCGCTGTCCTCGCTGCCAATTTCACCAGCCCACCGACGGACGACAATCTCCCACACCTCGCGCTCCTGCTCAGATGTAAACCCTTCACCAACCACATTGCCCACAACATGGTCGCTCTTGCCACAATGAACAGGACTCTCGGCACCGCCGCCCCGAGCGCGGGCGGCAGCCTCAAACGCAAGCAAATCGACAACTCGTCCGACGCCGAGAACGCGACCCCAGACACGCTCAAACGCCGCCGAGTCACTTTCCACCCCGAAGTCAACGTGCGGATACTGAGCGAGCACCACGAGAAGAGTCTGGAGCTGGTGGGGGAGGAGGTGCGGCGCGCCATCGAAAGGCATGCGACCGGCGACAAGGCGGCCTACGATGGGCTCAAAGCCCTCTTCAAAGAGGCACCAACGTCCACAGGTGCACCGCTTTCGCGACTTTTGCAGAAATACCTCATCGCACTCACCGAACACACGCCAAAACTCGACGGCAACTGCAAGGGCCTGGTGCATGCCGTCATCGATTGCAGTTGGATAGCGCGTAACGAAGACTTCCTGCGCTCCTACCGAATGTTCCTGCGCAGGCTGCTCTCAGTGCAGTCGAGCTACATGTCGACCGTGCTGCAGATGCTGGTCGACATGTTTCTGAGTGCGCCTTCCGTCAACGCCAGGCAGCAGGACGACCCACCGATCCAAAGAGTCCGCCTACAAGCACGCGTACACGAGACCCTTCTGGACATATTACGATACAGTCCGATGGCGAGTTCCTTCCTCGCGCCCGTCATCTCCAGCACTTTCCCCTTCTCCAACGACACCGCAAAGGTCCACGTCGAGTACATCCGGAACATCTTCAAGGTTACAGAGTACGCGCCGGAGATCAGAGGCGAGATCTTGGCACTCGTCACGGACAAGCTATGCAAGATCGACGCACAGATGCAGGTGGACATGGAAGAGATTGACGACGACTTGGAGGAGCGACTTATGGACGGGGCCATCAACGATGAGGAAGACGACGACGACGTGAGCGATGACGGCTCCATATCGAGTGACGAGAGCCTCGACCCGGAAGAGCAGCGACTCAAAGACATCAAAGACATGATGCTCAAGCTCGACACCGTCATGGACGTGCAGTTCTCCTACTACGACTCCGTTTTCGAACGGAACGACTATCAAGAGATGGATCGCACCTACCAAACCCTCATCGCGCAGTTCCAGTCTATCATCATACCGACCTACCGCTCACGGCATACTCAATTCGTCCTCTTCCACTTCAGCCAGATCTCGACAGAATTCATGGGGCGGTTCGTAGACACCTGCTCGCACCTGGCTATAGATCCGCACCGACCCCCGCTACTACGCTCAGCCGCATGCGCCTACCTCGCCTCCTACATCGCGCGCGGCGCTCACGTTCCTGGCTCCATCGTTCGCGATGTCTTCGACACACTATGTGTCCAGCTTGAGAGCCAGCGGAAATCGCACGAGCCCAAGTGCATCGGTCCCGACCTACGCCGGTACGGCACATACTACGCCATCGTGCAGGCACTCCTATACGCCTTCTGCTTCCGATGGCGCGATCTCATCGTCACACCCGACGGCACGTTGCCCACCGACGCAGACATCATGTACCACGAAGGCGACTTCCAGTGGCACCGGTCGACCCTCGAAACCATACGCCGCAACATCTTCTGCAAGCTGAACCCACTCAGAATCTGCGCACCGGAAATCGTCAAGCAGTTCGGTCGCATCGCCAAGCACCTCCGCTTCACATACATCGATACGCTGGTAGAGACAAACAAGCGTGTACGACTGTCCCGCAGTCTGGCCAGTGGGTACCTCAACGGCATCGGCGGCAGAGAAACTGCTCTCACCAGCAAGAAGGGCGAGGAGGCCTTCCTCCTGGACGCATACTTTCCTTTCGATCCATACGTGCTCCCACGGAGCAAGCGCTGGGTCGAGCACGACTACGTAGCATGGCGGCCGGTACCCGGTATGCCCGTCGAAAAAGACGACGAGGATGAGGATGAGGACGACGACGATGATGATGAAGACGAGGACGAAGATGAGGCTGATGATGACAGCGACAGCACATCAGAGGCGGAATCCGAGGACGAAAATGGCGTCGCAAACCCCGACGACCTTGACGACGGTAGTACGGAAGCTAGTCTATGATGAAATCTCTTGTGCATTGCATTTACGGCGTATATTGGGAGCGGGAAAGCATCAAGAGTAGCGTTTTTTCTGCTCGGCGCTGGTCAGGGAATAAAAAGGGCATATAGCTTGGGAGCGTCTCTTTTATGATTGACGGCCTGCTTCACATATGGCCTGGGTATCTTTGTTGGTTGAGCTTTTTTTACATGTATGATTGAGCGTTTTGTATTTGGCTCAGCAGCTGGTTGATTGATGGTCTGGTAGAGGCACGTTTACGTTTATACATACTCAAAAGAGAGAACGGAATGAAAAAATTTGATAATTGGAACTACTCAGTTTAGAGCTTTGCTTGTTGGTGGCGGTGAGACTGGCGTTGTCATTGAACGTGCATGTTAAAACAGCAATTGTCCGGATTTGCTACACGCCAACCTAGGGAAAAACAAGACAGCCCAGAGCCTACGTTGATGTTAGGTCACCTACTTTGCAAGGTTATGGGTCAATGTAGTCTGCAGACCTGTTCAGTTTTCCTTGCATGAGGTGGCTATGTAGATCTAACCCAGTATCAACCTCCAGTACCATTACACTCATCTCGAAACAGAAAGCCTGCGTCGGCGTACAGAGCTCACATGTGCTCAAAAGACTAGCTCACATCCATACATCTCTCAATCCTTAGGCCTTCGAAGGTGTCTTCCGAAAGACGATTTGGCGTGTGACGGAGTGTGCCATGCTGTGACCGTCTTTTTCCGTGGTCTGCCTATCCTCGTACGCGAATATGAAGTCTGTTCCTCGTTTGGTTGGAAGGTCGAGGATGCCCCATTGCTTCATCAAATCCCATGCCGGTTGAGAATCAGCCGTCGTCTCGCAGACTGGATCTTTGTAGAGAATTTTGAAGATGGCATGGTGGCTCCAATGACAGAATGAGCAAGTGACGGTCACTTTGTTCTCCTGTACAGCTTTGATCCAAGCCTCATTCGTATTGTGAACGAATACAGGTATGTCGGAAGTGTATTCCATCTGGTCGTGCTTGAACTCTTCCCACTCGCTCTGGCTCATATCAAAATCCGGACAGGTGCACTCGTCGTCATCGTCGCTGTATGGATACAGGCCTTCTTCCTCTCTGTGATATCGCCTCAGACACATTTGACAGATGTCGCCGTCTACACTCGATCCTAGAGCAACGCTCTCAGGAACGAGCGCAAATTGCGATGATGGAGAGTGTGCATGCACACGCAGAATGCGCGTCAGATTGAATCTCATCAGGTCGTCGTTTCCATGATCCCATAAGTACTGTATGAGCTTCGGCATGTGCTTGGGTTCGTTCTCAAATCGTAGAAAAGTATCGAGGAAGGTGGTTAACTGAGTAGTCGCCGAGAATGCAACACGAAGATCCCGAACCCAAAGAGGACGAAACTCTGCGCGGACTTGTGTACAGACGTGAGTTAGAGCGAAGTACTTCCAGGGGCGCACTGTGCGTGGGGGGTGAGCAAAACGTAGGGGGTCTTGATTGGGCCGTGGAGCAAAGCGGGTGGAGTCGTCTTCTCTGGCGTATTCGTATACTCTGTTCCGCAGTTCTAAGTGACGTTGGCATTTAGATTGCGCGGAACACAGCAGAAAAGGCATACCTGGAGAAAGATCGAGGAAGCGGAAGTACTGCGGATCTTCGCTTGCGGGCTCCTCCTTCGCAGGCTTCGCAGCGGTCTTGACCGAACGTTTCGCTTTCTTGGTGACTTTGGTGTCTACAGCTTCGCCGCTTGCGCGCTTGCTGCCGGATCGCCTGAAGTGAAGTCAGTATACAATCCCATGGGTGCGCGATGAGTAGAAGAGAAGACTTACGTAATGGGCGCCATCAGTCGTCTTATAGCCAGTGGCGACGTTTACTACGTGGTAGAGTTGGTGTCGGAGTAAGTTGAGTAGTAGAAGGTGGGAGTAAACAAGTAGAGAAGGCAAGAGCCCCCGCCAAGAGCCGCTAGTGGAATGACGCACCTGGGCAGGTACGCAGTGACACCTGGGCATGTTCGACAACATTCCGCCTGGTTAAGACAAGGCAAGAGCACGTGGATCTTTCACCTTATTTCCTCCAGCACGTCGGACGAGACAGAAGTGAATCGCGCTCTGCTTGCTCAGCATGCGCTTGCAACCACCCCATACAAGGGAGAAACTAAACACCAGGGAGCCTACGTCGCCGTTAGGCCACCAACTTCGCAAGCTTTTACTTTAATGTAGGCTCTAGGGTGTTCGGTTTTTCCTTTGAATGGGGTGCAACAACTCGCACTCGTTCGCTCGACAAGCATACCTGCGACGACCAGCTACTCAACAACCTTGCATGCCACGTGTGGATATCAGCGATGACTAAACTTGAAGTAATAAAGATGTGATTTTGTATGTTACACTATTTACATGGCGTTTATCTGCCCTGGCCCTTGGACTTTCCACCAAAGCCAGGACCGCGCTTAGCTCCGCGACCCTTGGCGAGCTTGACGGTGAACGCACCACGCTCGATGGTGTTGACCAGAATGTATCCAGAGGGAAACAAGAAGTGAGACCAAGTACCAACGAACTGAACGATACCGCCAACAGAGTCGTCCTCGGGGTAGATGTCGAAGAAACCCTCGGTCTTGACGCCCTTACCAGTAGGGTCCTTGCTAATGCTGCGGACATCGTGTACCCAGATACCGGCGCCGTAGTTGCTCTGGTAGGCGAGGCCGTCGACGATGTAGAGGTTGTGGTCGATACCCTTGCTGTCGGTGGCGTAGAAAGTACCGGTGGCCTTGGGGTTGCGGAGGTCGGTGAGGTCGATGATGTGGGTGACGGGGCGGCCGGACGCAGCGGGACCGACAGCTTCCTGCTCATCGAGCTCGTCGTTCAGGAGGACGTACTGGTGCCAGTTGCGCTCGGTCCACCATCCTTGATGGCAGTAGGTAGCACCGGGGTAAGAAAGGGTGGAGATGACCTCAGAGGCAGGGTTGCCGTTCTTCATGGTGGAGTCGTAGACGGTCATGGTGTCTTCGTTGTAGCCGATGCAGATGTTGCGGCCGCGGAACTTGCGGTCGGGACCGTTGTAGGTCACACACTGGGCATCGTGAACGTATCCGTCCTGGCTAGCACAACCGGGAGAGGTTGGCTTGCTAGGGTTCTTGAGGTCGATGTACTGGAGACCAGCCTTGCAGGTCTGGTTTCGGGGCTGGGCACCGACAGCGAGAATGTACTCGTTGTCCCAATCAACAACAACGTTGTGTGTGCGGCCGATGGGCAGTTCGTCGAACAGACCAACGAGGTCGGTCTTGGGGTCGAATGTCTTCGGTGTCTTTGGGTCGACACTCAGAAGCTTCTTCATGTCGAAGATCTGAACGTTGTGACCAACGGCCTCAGAGCCGATGATGACATAGTCGTTCAGTACGCGAATCTCGCGCCATCGCGAACCCACACTTTGTGCGGGAAGGCGACCCATGTACTGGATTTGGCCGTCCTTGAGAATCTCGACGAACGCAGCACCAGAGAACTGGCCTACAATACCGAACTCACGGCCGTTGCGAGCGGTCCAGCCCCATGAAGAGCTACCCTGGCCTTCAGGGCCTCCCATTTCGGCGTGGTTAACAAAGTCGTAGAGGTCCATGTTGTTACACCTGAACGTCTGGTTCGCATTGCCCTGCTCGACGATGGCGAGACCATCCTTGCATTGAACACGCTTGGCCTTGTCGGGTCCATGAGGTCCTTTCTTCAAGGTCTTGAAAGACTTCCACTGCTGGGAATCCTGCTTGCCTTGGGCTGCATCAACTTCCCATTGATCCTAGAAGCTGTTAGTACTGATCGTCAGGCGAAAGAGGCAAAGTATGAACATACACTCTTCAACTTCATCAACTTCTGATGAATTGCGCCAGAGGCATACTCCGACTTGGAGTAGTGCGCAGCCTGGACCGCAACGGGGAGTGCCAACACAGCGAGTGAGAACTTCATCTTGAGGAGCTAAGAGAAGGATTGAGCTGGAATGAGCACATTTCCTATGCACCTCAACAGGTATATATATAAGTGTGGTACCCTCATGGTGCAAGATCTCGCCCTCGACCGTTGCCTCGCCACACGACCATTCAGTACCATGTTACCGTCTTGGTACAGCATTATACTCTGGGCATCCGTTGGCATCCATACTCCATGCGGAAGGTCAGGACTACCATTCCGCTAACTTGATAGGGAAGGTGTCCATACACTTCTTGAGTGGAGTACTGTTGCCAAGCAGCGAAATTCGTATACACATGGTGCGCCACAGATATCCGGCTTGGTACTGTCGGGAGGGCCTCGGGAAAGGAGCGAACATCATTGCCACGGCCCGCTAGCGGAGCCCAAGACTTCCAAGGCGTCTGGGCATGCGGACCAATATACAACACCTGGACGAGAGGCGTTCGCAGCCAGACTCTAGAGGAGATAAGAGGAAGGAAATCATAGAAAAGGGAATGTGCGAACTTAGTCTGCGCGTAGTGGTGCTCGGCGGCGTCGAATCTTAAATTGTACCTACCAGGAGCGGAAGGCCTCCGCGCCTAAGGAATGTTTCAACGATATACGGTAGAGCGCGACCAAGGCCAGCGAAGGCCTTCGTAATCGCTGCAAACGCGCGGAAGAAAGAAACAATTATTCGCGCAACTCCGACAGGGGCGATAGCCAACAAGCGCACGAACGTTGTGGTAGGCAGGGACAAGCAGACGCTGGGCTTCGGGATGCGCGCCGTACAGAGGCCACGATATCTGTCATTAAAAAGTATAGTCTACTCAGAAATGCGTAGAGTTTGAGTACCAGTGTCAGCCAATGATGCACGGAGGTTGAGATGTCGAGGTCTGAGGTCGTGGATCTGATGTGTGAGGGGAACGCGCCACGCTAAGATCGAAATCAATATTACGTCATCATGTTGCGACGCGACGCGAGCGCGCTTGCCTCAACCTTCACGATCGAGGCATCTCTAGCTGATGTTTGCCACCGTGCACATGCGGTGAAGCTCATTATCACAAAGATATCGATCAGAGTTGCACTCACGTACAGCGACGCGTCGGCGACTGGTTACCTTGCTGCTGTCGCAATCAGACAAAGACACGCCTAAAATATGTGTGGGCAAACCCGACAACGATACTGGTAACGCGGTGATTTGCAACCATTATACATTATTACTGAACTAATTACTTGTAGAAGACGCACCTTCACCACACCAGACCCAAAACGCAGCCAAGTCGATAAGGAGACTATGGTACACACCGACAGTTACAAACAACTTGATGACCTCCCCGTCATAGTACTCGACGCGACAGATACGTAACGACTATGCACACCAGACCGACCCTCGAAAATCGCATCTACAGCCTCGACGACCGGGCTTGGCCTCGGTACCACCCTCTCCCACTTGCGGTGGTAGATACAATGAGCGATCATTTCCACCGACCCTAGGATCGAGGAATGCCTCTACCGGCACATGGCAACACTTCAGCCTCGGAAAGTCTCGGAGAGATCCCAGGGTATCAACGTCCCGACTGTTAGGATACACCAGGTCTAGGATGTCTTTGTCACTGTCGTCCGTCGCATAGACCGCTTCTAACGAGTGTCGATGTCCCCTCAGCGCATCACCCAGGAGTTTCCAGGAGTGCTCAGGCCAGATTGACAAAGGATTGCCTTCTGCGGCGAACGGCTCCCACCTCCCGGTACTGCGGTGGTATCGAAAGCTGTGGAGGGCCTTGAGCGTGAGGAGCATTTGTGCGACAACAGAAATGTCCATCATTGCATGAACCAGGTGAAGTTTCCGGATTGAGCTACTCGACTCGGGGACCGACCAGTTCTCAACAGGTGTTGTTTGACATATCTCCCAGAGGATAAGCGTTTCGAGGGAGGGAAGACGGAACACACAGGAAAGCTCCTCCACTGAGAGGTGGCGGGAAGCAATATTGAGCTCCTTGAGCTTAGCAAATCGATTGACATGACCACCGACGGGTCGCGCAACAGCGCTGTTCAACATCTGCAACCATTTCGGTGTATCCTCGGGCCGGTCATATGTCTCCGTCACGTTGAACGCTTGGATGTCGTGAGCGTTGGCCAAGATCTTGTTGCATGCATCCTTGTTGACGGGCTTCCCGCCGAAGAAGATACTGATTTCGCGGATGTGCCTGGAGAGAAGATGGTTGCTGGCAATCGCCGCCGCCTTTTTGTAGTGCCTGGTAGAGCTCACGGCGCGTAAGGTCTTGTACATCACCACCTCCGCGATTCGCTTGCAGAGCTTATCTGTACGACACAGCTTCGAGAGTGCGTCGTCACGGCCGACTTCCTTCACATGCTCCATGATCTTCAGTAGAAGCTCTTCCGGTATACCACCAAGACACGCTTGTGGGTTTTGAAGTACGACAGGAAGATCTGGGCTGCCGGGGCCATCATCGGTGGCCGTGTGGGTGACCTTGACGGATATCGAGACGGAGCGGGTACGCTTAGCCGAGGCCGAGGCGTGCGAGAGTGAAGCTTTGCGCTTCTGCGGCGTCGAGACGGTAGCTGGCGCCATGGCGGTGGTGGGTTCGAGCGGATGTGCACCTCGTACAACGTCGATGTAGGCTCCAGGGTAAGGTGTACAAGTGTCGTTAGGGGTACAATTAATCTGGCAAAGCTGTATAGTCGAAGAACACCCGCGTGGAAAGAGTTGGCCGCCGACACGAAAGTGAGTGGTCGTGGTGGTGAGAGGAAGTCAAGAACTCGGAACGCGAACGAGAAGAAAACAACAACAAAACGCGTCGATGCGCGCCCTTCACACGCGTCACCCGATGCATGGCCACTCACGGTGAGGGCCCTGAGTGCGCGCGCAGGTGCGAGAGGAATGCGCCGCTCTGGCCAATCGGGAACGTCACTGCGAAGGTGTGAAGCGGAATATTCACCTCACCGCCGCCCGTCTGGCGTTTGAAGAGTGCATAATGTGCGCACGCATGGCCAGGTCATTGGGAGAATGAGTATGTGAAGTGGGTGTAGTATTGACCGCTAATGCATTAGGCATGCCGATGTCGCTGCTCAGAGGATGCTTCGATGAGTATCCCTCCGCCATATGTTCAGAAAAGAAAGAGAGGACATTTAGCAAAAGGCAAGGCGGATAGCCAAATATCTTGGACCCATGCTAGCTTTTCTGCCCAGTACTCTCCTGTTCCACGAACATATACAGGTTGATCGCGGTCATTATCATAACTCTGGAGCGCCAAACTACCAATGGCTGCAAGCTGCTCTTCGGATCTTTCTTCGAGAAAATCACCTACTCGAACTTCTCCCGCCTCTACTCCCATGTACATCATTCTGAAATGAAACCTTCCAAGCATATATGGAAGCAATGCAGTTTCTGTATGAAGCTGACGAGAGGTGAGCATCAACGCTAGGTCGTTCTCTTTGGCTGAGTTCCTTGGTGTCGTCCAGCCGGTGAACGTCCACTTGTTGTCGCCGAACACGTAGGCGTATATTATGTTCCGTATTTCGCCTGGTAAGCGGAGAAGAGGCGAATTGGTCGCGTTGGCTTCGGTGCTACAAACGATACATTAGCTTTCGAAATGGCAAAAGCTGGGTGACTTACATTTTGTCGCGAGGAGTTCTTTCGCGGAGACGTCGAATCGCTGCCCTCTCTTCAGCACCCTCAAAGCGCCGCTTCTTTGCTGGGGGCTGGCCGTTCAGACGAGAAGGCATTGTTGAGCGCTTTTGTGACAGCTTGGTGCGTTGTGCTGCGGGTGGTGTAATACGAGCGAGGTGGTTGGTTGAATGAGGAGGGGAGGAGAAGTAGGTTGGGAGCAGACTGCCAGGCTGGTATAAGTGCGGCATTCTCTACTAAGCTAGTGGCTGCTGAGAGCGACAATGGAGGGTCACGGATGTGATTGACATTTGCCAGGTTTCACCGTCCCTCGCTACCTCATTCCTTCACTTCGAAGCTTCCCCAATGCAGACATACGGTCGCTCTCTCGTTCTGACTCAAACAGTTCAGCTGAGATCCGATTCATGTTGTCTGCAGCGACCCATTATATCCTTCCAGTGAGTATCTGACGAAGCTGCCAAAAGCCCAGTCGCTGGGCCCAGAATGTGCCAGTGTTCACCGTCCTGTGGCGAGGGTATCCCAAGTACGTACACAAGTTTCTAGACTGGCGATCGCTTTGAGTTGTTCGACTGATCTCTTCTCAAGGAAGGTTTCGATGCTGATCGTCACTAAGCGATCTGGCTCGTCTTCATCTAATCGGAAACAGATCGTGCCGTGGTTATACGGGAGTAAGGCGGTCTCGGCGTGGGCTTGACGTGAGACCAATAGAAAACTCATATTCAACTCCGTGAATGATCGTCCACAAGTGAGAGTGTTGCCATCATGTCTGTGGAACAGGTACTTTTCGCCACTGAAGATGTAGGTGAAGATCATGCCTCTGATCTCGGCTGGAAGGCGAAGTAGAGGCGAGTCAATAGAGTTGAGCTCAGTGCTGTAGCAATTATTAGACGCATCAAGCGCGTAGGTTCATGTAGTACTTACAGCCGATCGAGTGAACTTGGATCACGAATCACGTCGCTCTCGTCGCCAATTTTTTTTGAGGATGCTGCAGTGGCCAAGGGCGACACTGTGGGCTTGAGTAGCGCCATAGTTGATTAGAATTGGGGTGCCGAAAGCAAGGTGGTCTTGTGACAAGGCTGCGTCGTGAAGGCGAGAGCACTTGGGCGGTCAATTTGTTGAATGCGGCTAGCGTTGTTTGACTAGCTCCCGGCGAAGGGCAGGGTGCACCGCTATGAGTCGCTCATCCGGAGATCTGTACCGGATTCAACCCTCCATTACAGTTCTCCGGTGGTAATGTAATGTTTCCACAGCAAGACTTGGAAGAGATGAATTGCGTCCGCCGAAGAATTAACTACTATGGGCATTCTCATCATTGTCTACTCACATGCCTTTGATCGAAAGGAAAGATGCTAACGTAGTGACCAACTGCAATGGTCAGAATACCCATAGATTTGTAACTCGATGAATACCACCGCATGTATACATAGACGCTCCACTAATGGTCTCAAATTTCCCCTATTCTTCGTCTATACCATTCCGGACACAATGCCTTTACATCATTCTTAGCGAATGCGTCAGCCCATTGCACCCCAGTACCCCAATATGGCCTATCATTTCTGATCTCAGGATCATATCCACAGACTTCAAACTCCTCGCCCATAGCTCTAAGCTGTTCCTCCGATCTGCTGCCGATGAAAGCCCTTACATAAACTTCCCACGGGGCTCTCGGACTGTGGAGAAAAAATTGAAATAACCCAAGTTTATATGGAAGCAACGCGGTTTCAGCGTAAAGCTGACGAGATGTGGCTACTAGGCCTAGATTGCACCTTTGGAACGAGAATATCTGACCGGGATCGAAGTCCCTGTCGTTGTTGTGATCTACGAAGCCGCACGCTGTGCTGCTGAAGACGTAGGTATAGATTGTGTTGCGTAGCTCGGCGGGTAGGCGGAGGAGGGGCGAGTTGGCTGCGTTGAGCTCACTTCTACGTAGTTTATCAGTTTTGCATCCGTGAGATTAGGGATTGACGCTCTTACAACTGGTCGCGACGAGCTCGACATTGAGGAGTGTGGGTGTCTTCAAGAGGGCGGGATGACGCGTACGTCGCGGGTCTAGCGTAGACTCGGTTGTAGAACGAATCCTGTGGGGTGCGGAATCTCCAAGACGACATGTTGTGCTGCGTCGGGGGCTTATGTGTCAGTGGGAAGAGTACTGGTGGAAGGAGAGGAAAGGGGGTAGAATACAAGTAGTGTAAGTAATATTGTCAATGTGGCATACAAAGGCTCACTTCAACCGATGGCTAGCCGAAGGGTTGAGTGAACTTAGGAGTAGAGCAATCGATCAGAGAGACTTCTTTGTCGTTCACTCTTACAATTCCGTTGTTCTTCGGATGCGTTGTGTCAACGCGAAGGCACGTTGAGTGAAGTTAACACTGTTTAGAAGAGACATCGATTGGCCGACGAAGGGCATGTAATGTGAATTGATCGAATGGACTAGTGGCAACGTTGCTGCTCCGGTTTGATGTCAGACTGCCGCAGTCTTGGTACGCCAGCTCAAAAAGCTGATACAAATATTCAGTGAATGACCATCGAACACTGACTTCTGGTTGCGTCTTCGCGGAGGGCACGTTGCCGCAGGCTGTTGAGTGCATGATGCTAGATTGTTCTCCAAGATCTTCTCCATACTCACACTACTCATTGCGATCACCAAAATCACAGGCGCTCCAGACTTCGGTGGAGCCTCGCATGAGCTAACCCGCGAAGGCCTGATGCTGCAAGATAGAGCGCCACAGGTTCTTGCTGCTTCGGATCTCGAAATACTGCGCTGACCTCTTATGACAGAAGCGCCGTCATGCGTCGCCCGTGACTCTAAGCACACAAATGGTGACATGCATCTTCAATACTGAAGAGTAGTACTACCAAGGCTCGAATGTATCGCGAGTTGTTTCCCCCACCTAAGCACATCACTATGGTTGTACCGATGCTGCGACCCGGTCTTCCGCAATCTTTATAGTATCGACATCGCTGTTCGTGCGAGGGCCAGTGTTTGTGCGATTGCGAACTGGTAGGAGATCTTCGCGTCGAGCGGGGCGTATGCGACGATGCTGGTGGCGTTCGAGGGAGGGGATGTCGACAACATCGGGCGTGGACAGCTCCTGTAAGCGTGCCGAGGCACTCTGGTAATTAGCAGAATTTCTACATAACTTTGGAAGGTATAGGCATTGTATCGTGATGGTTGAATGTCTACGAGAGCTTGACGCGTCCACGCGTGGAAGATGCAGGCTATGACGCAAACGGTGACCTAAACTTCATTGGGGCATATGTCGATCATTTCCAGATGCGTCATAACTCTTGCGCACGGATCTCATCTCAACTCCGCTTGTTCGCCCTTTGATCTATCGACATTGTCCAAATGAAGCTCATAGCCTTTCATTCGATCACCTTTACCTCCGTTCGCAATGTGGCCACTTATTGAAGACGTGGTTTGCACTTCTCAGTAACAATGCCGATCATATCGTTGCAGCTCCGAAGGGAACAACGTCTCACACGGCCTCGGCGATTGATTTAGCTTTCCTTATTTTGTTGTGTCTGGTCTTGTACAGATACCATGCGCCGACGGTGAGCATCGTCAACGGCACTGTCGTTATCACGAAGATCCAGAATTGAGGGCTCGCCTGCAAGGAGCCGTCTTCGCCTTTGAAGTCGAAAAGGTTCATACCAAGGAACGACTGAATCAACAAGTTAGAACGTTCAAGCATATACTCGAGTATGTGGCCGACTTACAGCCATGAACGACGCAGGTAGATATATTAGAGTGAAAACAGTGATGACCTTAACGGTAGCGTTATCGTCAACGCCTTCCTGTGTTAATCGCAGTATGCGCGTGCTTATCTCTCTCGAGTTTGCCTGATTCTCAATATCGAGAAGATTTGTGAGCTGTGGGTGTGTTAGTGATGTCGTTCAATTTGCTACTTCTCTTCTCCTACCAATCCCAGTGTGGCTTGTACACGTTGTGCCAATGTATCTGCTACATTGAGATGACTCTCCAAGCGATGTTCCATGATTTGTAATTCACGATGTACGCCAAATGATGATTCTCTCAGTGATGGGATATTGGTCGCGAGTGCTGTGTTGATACTCATCAAGGTCTGTACGAGAACAAGATTGCTGCGGAGACATTTGCATGCTTTACACACTATCTTGTCTTCGATGTGCCGGAGCATTTGGAGGCGCTCCGGATTGATAGCAGGATTGGCATCCGACTCGCAGATGTCGACCACATCTATGCGTCGTCGCTGTCGTCTGTCAGCACTGCATGTATCGGGTGTGGAATCTGCTTACTATCTGCTCCAGGTCACTCGCTAGGCTTTCTAGATGGTCTTGCCAATTTGGCAGGTATGACAATAGGATGACGATATGAACGGTTAATGGATGCTGTGTCAACTGCGCTGTGTCCGAATAATCGGTCATTGCTTCCAGTTTTGACTGCGCCACCGCCTCGTCGTTGGGATGGATTACAACAACCTGACTACTACACCCTTCGGATGCGAACTTGTGCGCAACACCTGTTTGCCTGAACGACCAGATATCCCGTGGCGGTCGCTTCCCGTTTCGTTCAACATACATGAACTGATAACATAGCTCTGGAAGGATTCCGTCAGCATACTTTGTACCAGCCAATGGTCATTACGTGAGGTATCAAAGGAACGTACCGAAAGACTGATCCACCGATTGGATCGACTGCCGAAAGCCTGAGGACTCCTGAAAGATTTGAGGCTGATCGCCGAACTTCAAAAGAACGTCTACAAACATGCTGGAGATCTGCCAGCTTCTCAATACTGTCAGCATCGCTTCCTTGGGACACATCAAGGGTGCCAACGAGTATTCCTGGCAGAAAGAACTGTGCTTCGCATTAGCGCCGTCAGTCGATCCGAGATTCCGGTCACGTACAGAATGCGAAAGTTGTCGTCGCTGGTTTTCATGAGATGATCTCCAAGCTCTAAAAGGTCTTTTGGACGCAAGATTGCTTTCCTTCGTGCATCTACATTCGATGAGTGCAATTCTCCTAGTATAGGTGTTTGGAGAGATATTGGCTTACCCAAACGGATTAGGCGCACGTGAAATGACCCCATGCCGTCGAATAATCGTTCCTGGTTGGCACATATCCGCTGCAATGGCACTTCCCAGTCGTCAAAGAACGCATTTCTGCTAGCGTACTCCATGTTCAAATCCGTAATAAAAGAGAGTGAAAGCAATTGAGCTATTATCGTTTTCGTTGAGGGGCGCACGCAGGCTAATGACATGCCCTGAACATCTCACAAGGCTGAGGCAGTGTACGCCTTCGCAGGTCGCCGCGCCAATGGGAAGGCTTCCAAGATTCCGGTGACCTTTTCTGCGCGCAGAAGTAACCATTTGCCTCGAGCACTGCTTTTCAAAACACTCGGCTGACTCGCCACGTTTCTGTGAGTCTGCCTTCCTTTCTGTGGACTCCAATCAGCACTGTGAACTTCCTCGAGGCCATGTCATATGACAACTGTCATGAGTCTGACCTTACGACGCGTTTCATAATTGTAGCCGAAGGAATTCGTGCACCCACAAGTATGTCTAGGGCAAAGACTCTCATGGCTACGTTTTGCGACAAGTATAGGTAGCGCACCGGTGAAGTTTACAAAGGTACGATTGCGGGCCATCCAGTGCGCCACGTGACTGTACATGACGTATTGCCAAGACCACCAGCTAGCCAATCTCCAGCCTAAGTCTGCTGCTTGTCATTCCACTCGTCGCCCCTATTTCTTCTTCAAAGCGCTACAGAAATTAGTCACGGCCTCGCAGTTCACATTTTCTGAAGAAGGCTCACCGCAGGTCTGCCTGTATTTTATGCCGTCAGTATCTGTGTTGGTTGCCACAGTGGACTAGGCGCATGTACGTACCTCGGGTATCTCCTCTGGCGCGTAGAACTCCCACTTATTGCGCTTTTCCTTGGTTACTCAGTCATTTATGTATATATGATTTTGCAGGAGAGACATACTTCGATAGCGAACTCTTTCACAGACGAGACATCAGGGTACTTCTTCTTCAAGAACGTTTCCAACTTCTCCCTTGTTATATATCCCGATGTTCTCTCTTCAACAACATTATGGATCGGTTGACGGGTCATATCAACTTTCCGCTTGGCGCCCTGAGGTCAGCAGGTAATGTTCTTGGTGAATGGTCGGACAAGGCTGATTCGGGCTGCTGACTATTCAGGAAATCAGCCTTGGAGTTCAGCCTTAGACAGCCGACTGAGCGCATATATACCAAAGTACGACGAACAGAGCCTCAATAAGCTAATAGTTCTGTCACTTGTGCTTCGAGTGTGCATGGCATGACAGCACGTCGCTGCAGCAAGCAGCAGGAGGACTGTCAGTCGCTATTGGTTGATCTGCATCAGGCTGCATGATTGCTTTTTCCTGGCGTTTTCAGCTCAATCAGCCCGCAATGCGCCTTCCACATCCGGCGGCTTTTCTTCTTACAATGTTCCCGAGACATCGTACAGAGCCTCACAGACCGAGTCGCAACCAATCATATGTAGCGGCCCCACACCACACCCTATGCATCATTTATCGTGGAGGCGGAGTTGATGGTGGAGGGCGACAGCTGAGGTATCTGACGCCTGTGCAGCCGCCTGCGATTGGGTTCAAGGCGTTCGCATCGCGGCACTGCGAAGCAAACGACGAAATGGCGACCAAACGTCGTTTGAGGCTGACAGCCCGGAACCCATGACTTGAAAAGAGCGCAAATCCCCTGAATCTAGTGCGTTTATATACCAGGTTCGTAAGACGTTACCCGGCTGTGGCCTGTACTACGTCGTCAACTTCCATCATGGGTCAATGCTTCGCACGCTTGTCCGGCAATCATAATATATCTACAGCGGTCACACCTGGTGACATTCCAGCAACACTGGAAGATCAGCCCAATCCTACACAGACCGACTCAGACTCCACCCGCGCTCAATCGGAAGAGCACTTCGATCCCAGTGCCACAGAAAATGGAAAATTACACGCGAATCCGCAACCTGTCAACATCAAGACGATTAAAGACGACATCTTCCAGGCATTAGGGAATGGAATGGTCGGCAGGAAGGGCGAAGAGATAATACTTCCTGAAGTGGTCGAGAAGATATGGACGCAAAACCACCACCGAAAGTTCTACATCAACCAATCTTGGTACAAGTCGGAATGGGACAGGAACAATTTCATGGACGAGATGATTCAGATAATGTCAATCTTGATTCGAATTAGTTTCGAACATTGGCCGCAGTTTGTCGAAACGTTTGTCAATCATGGAGATCGTCGGGACTGTAACCTTCCTTTCGCCTTGGAAACATTGCAAGAGGAGGACTTCCTGGGGATACCTCTGGGAGCGCTCTTCTACGAGAAACAGTTCGCATTTTGTCCTGTTCCGATCCCGGAGCAAGAAGATGAGTTCGTACTGGACAGTGAAAAGCGGCTTCCCTGGATCGATGGACCAGAACAAATAGGGGAAGGCGGCTATGGAGTAGTCACCATGCGAACAGTGGCGAAAGGATTCTTGCGCTTCCAAGATCGTACCACCAATCTCGAGGTAAGTCGCTGCCGCCACTACGGAGTATCTTGCGCGTCGCTAATCGTTACGCTAGCCTAGAGCTGTCGCCGTTAAGACCTTGTCCGGGAAGCTTGCGCTCAAGGAAGAGTTCAAGAACATGAGGGAGCTGCGTAGATGCCTCAGCGATCACAAACGAATCATGGTCAATCTCGTCACGATGGTAGACCGGTCAAGCCCGACACACATTTATCACATTGTTTACGAATTGGCCGCGTATGATCTCAATGGCTTCCTCACCGATATGCCCTACGATCTGAGAGCGAAACGTCACGCGACAGCCAAACCAGGAAGAACGGGCTCTATATACATGTGGCCGGGCGACCTGATTTCAGAAAGTGTCAATCTCGCCGATGCATTGGACTACCTTCACAACCGGCTCTACTCAAAATCCCATGTATCACTGTCCCATAACGATATCAAACCAGAAAACATCCTGGTAATATATCCGGAAACTACGAATGAGCAAGATTGGTATCCTGTGGGACAGTGGAAACTTGCCGATTTCGGGCTTTCCGTTGTTAAGAACAAGCGATCATCTGACAGCTCTAACAAACACTTGAGCGCAGATAACGCTTTGTTCAGTCCTTCAAATCCACAGCAGACACATAGGACCGAGAGACCCAGTTCTGTGTCGAAGGCCATGCCTGCGAGATACCCGGGCCAGTATACGGCCCCGGAGTTAGATCAGAAGACACCCCAGAAAGCAGATGGCAGGAGTGCCGATGTGTGGTCTTTCGGATGCGTTCTGTCCGAAATCATCACCTATGCTGTCAAGCTAGACTGTAAGCCGGTCGAGAAGTTTCGAAAGTCACTCGAGCAGAGCGACCCGTCAGATCCGAAGTTCTACCATCACGTATCCAAGGATGTCAAGCGGGAGTTCCTCGAACATCTTGATACACTACCGGCTATGGCTCGCGAAGATACGCGCACCCCCAGCAATACCCACTGGACCGCCTCCTGTGTCGAACTCATCAAAGAAATTGTGGTGAAAGAACCCAAAGATCGACTTGGGGCAAAAGGAATCCGACCCAGGCTCAGCAAGATTGAGCTATCAATGCGGCCCGAGAAACACATATGGCTCAACCATAGTTTACCACCTTTAGTAGTGGACGCAGATACTGTGAACGCAGAGTCCGCGTTGTCTTGTCCTACGAGTGCTATATCGCAAAGTCCGACGGACATTCACGATTCTGATCACAGCAAAGACGAATCAATATATAGGGTGCCAACCATATCTGTTGATCCTCCGGAGCACACGGACTCAGAGGTATCGCGGCCTACACACCTTGGCGACAACGAAAGACGGAGGGCGACAGCGCCTAGATGAAGTAAGGGAGACTTTTGCTCTACTGGAGCTTTGCGCATATTCCTCCATAATACCACATGTACTGACTACAGAACGCCACTTTGTTCGTTTCCTGTCTTTACTACGCTCTCGTACCTCCTGAAACGTGTGTACAAAGTCGTAGCTTAGTATTTCCAACTGCATGCAAATTACTTCTCTGATCATCTACCAACCAAGCCTTTCACATACACATCTAATTTATCTTCTTGTAACAAGATATGGATTATCCCAAGCCGACTTACCATGATAGTAACGATCAGCTCCTGCCTGCATACCGAGTTGGCAAACCACCATGTTCTTATCGTCCATAGCCAGCTCTTGTTCCCTGGTTCTGTTCTCCATGAACCTCTCCACACAGTATGACCATTTGCCCTTGGAAACCCTGAACTCGAAACTGAAGAAGCCGAGCTTATACGGGAGGAGGCCTATCTCGGCATAGAGTTGGCGCGACGCAGCGATGAGACCCAGATTACATTCGTCGAACGAGTCCAGGCACTGAGTCTCGGGATCCTCCCAGCAGTATTCGTCAAATGTATACTCCATGCCGGTGAAGACGTAAACGAAGATGACGTTCCTTATTTCGGCCGGCAGGCGAAGGAGGGGTGAGTTGAGAGCGTTGAGTTGAGTGCTACGATGTCTTGTTAGTTGACTATCTTGATTACATAGGAAACTGGCAGCTACATCTTATCGCGGCGAGCTTGGCCTGGAGGAACGTCCTCGCGAGGAACTTCATTTGGGAGAACCTGTTCGCCAAGGATCTGCTCGCGCACTGCTTCCCTGCGTTGAGCTCGGATATCGCGCGTCTTCTTTTCGTTAGATGGTGCGTCGGCACGAGGCTTTTGTACGCGCTTCCGAGGCACCATGACGGTAGGTATACTGTTGAGGTGTCAATAATGTTAAGAATGGCGTCGTTGAACGGAGAGATGAAAGAAACTTCACGAGACGCAATAGAATGCCTGATGGCTCTATACTTGGTTCCCATCCACTCCGCCCCATGGTACTGTACTGATGCAGAGCGGGATGGGCCACTCACAACTTCCGATATCCATTACACGCCCACAAAGTTGAACCTCCGCGGACGAGAAGTAGGGTTGGCATAATAACTTGCGCTATTCGCGGAAAGTTTATTCAAGCGGACGGAGTGCATGTGGCGTGTATTGATCGACTAATCTGCCGCCAAATAACTAGTTCGAAGAATTATACTGAAGCTGTAGTATACATGAGTCGATCTCATTAGACGGTCGCTCTCTTATCCTGGCAAGACAGCACAGTATAAGATCCGGTTCATGTCGTTCATGCAAGATCGAGTAGCTTGTTCTTCGATAAGGGCTCTTCCAAGTAACTAACCAAGCAGTTTCTTCGCCCATTCTTCCCCGTTACCTGTCTCATCCGAGATGATTATGAAGACATTGAACGTAATGATTCTCATTTTGGCAATCGCTTTGATCTGGTCTGCGGATCTACCACGCATGAATTGTTCCGCTACAGTATAATGCACATCTCCCTCATCTTCATATCCGCTGGATGTAGATGTGTCGTCTTCAGATGTGTCGTGAGCTACGTCGAGTTCGAATTCGAATAAGCTGAGTTTGTAGGGAAGTAATGCAGTCTCTGCATGAAGCTGACTGGAGGCAAGGAACAATCCTAGAACGTTGACAGCAGTTGATCTCGCGCAGGGTGACATTTTATCACTGCCTCTGCATTTCCGGAACCTTTGCTCGATGAGGTAGTAGGCGCCCTTGAAGACGTAGTTGTATATCATGTTGCGGAGCTCGGCGGGGAGACGAAGCAAAGGTGAGGTCTCCGCGTTGATCTTGGTACTAAAGTAAGGTGTTAGCAGCTATCAGATATGCCGCGGGGATCTCGGAACTTGCATATTGCTGCGAATCGCCTCATCGCGATGGGTCTGTTGCTTCCGATAGACTTGATCGCGAGCCGCAGCTCTGTCTCTTGCCCTTTCATCGCGGGTTTTAGCAGCCGGCACGTTGGCGGCAGACGCCGATGAGCGTGAGCGGATACCCATGATCTGGGTTGCTTGTAGAGTTGACAATGTTGAGAAGCGCGTGGTTGAGGGGCGAGGTGGAAGAATCTAAACAAGACGTAGAGCAGTGTGCGAAAGCTCGCCAAGACGACACGCAAGCAAGCACGCCTTGACTACCGCCTGACTAGGTAACCATGGTGACTACGAATCTAAGTCAGATCAAACGTGGACGCGTCATGCCGAAAGCACACCTTTCAACCAGCCTTGTGCCATCTCTCAAGACTCCTTCAGCAGAGATAGAGATATATCACGTGCCGTATAGTATTCCTGCTTACCACGTCTTACTGCAAAGTGTGGTTATGTCTGCCGACTCCATGATACATATGCCAGATGAACCGAGCATGTCACGGCTTTCCAGTTTCAACAACCGTTGCTACGCTTTTGATCGTGAACAAAAGTCACTACTCTTACTGACTTCCAGTGTGGTCTGTGACAGCTCAAAGATAAAGTGTGCTTAATACTATACAGCGGTGTTGATGCACATCAAATTAATTTGAGAGAAGCGACTCCTACAAGGACCTTCTGGCTGCTCTAATCTTCGCTTGTCAAGCACAGTAATTACTAGCGATCACGTCGTGCATGACGAACGATAGATCGATATTTCTTGATCTTCAGCCTCTTGACCCAGTATAATCCAGTCCCCATCGCGAATTCCTGTTCTTCATGGGACCAACGGCGTAGCGTCAGACAAGACATAGCTTTGATCTGTTCTTCGGAACGCTTAGCCAAAAACTTCCTCACACAGGGCTTCCATTCTTTCTTGTTGGCGCTGTAGACGATGGCACTAAATGTGCTGAGCTCATAAGGAAGATAGGCGGTCTCGGCGTGAACTTGACGTGATACCAGGATCAGCCCCAGGTTAGTCTCTTTAAATGAGCCTGCGCACAAGGTCTTTCCTCTGTAGAGGTTGTGGGTAGCAGTTTCGAAAACGCGGCCGTATATCATATTGCGGAGTTCCGCGGGAAGACGAAGAAGCGGGGAATTTGCAGCGTTACGCTCAGTACTGCAAGAAGTCGTTAGTAACAAGTTTCGCAGCAGGTGCACGACTGTGGACGAACATTTGATTGTGTACGGCCGGATGATGAGAAGCCTCTGTCTCACGACTTTCGAAGGTACGCTGCTTATTGGTATCTGGTGCGTCGGTGGAAGCTAGCGCAGCGCGCTTTTGTGGCGGGGTGAGAGCTTTGGGACGCGTCATTGGGGGCGATGCGGGATGTGCGGGCGAAATAGTATGAGAGGGAGGCGGATGGGCCTGAAGAAGTTGGGCGAGCCCGGTAGGAGCGGACTAGCGTAGAAGAAGAGAAAGAATAGAACAAGAATTGCTAAGGCGGCATACAGGCAGATGCGCTTTTCCTTTCTGGGTGACTAAGGCGCCTGCAAAGTGCAAAATGGGCCAGTCATGTCGAATCCGCATCAAGCAAACGACTGTTCTTGCTTCCGATCTAACCCGCTCCGAAAAGATACATACAGCGCGGCCAGCAAAGCTCCACCAGCGACTCAGGAATCGAAGCGTCTATTCGAGTAAATTTTCTGCAGTCATCGATAGAATAGAATCCCCTTTACTCAATCTTGCAACCCAGTAGGGACCGGTCCCAGTCAAGTTGACGCGTTCAAATCCCGCCTGGTAGTATGAGTAAAGCTCCAGGTTGCACAGCACCTCGATCTGAGCCTGCGATCTCCTGTCCAAGAACTCCTTGATCGCATTGCGCTTGTTTCCGTAACACCATATGCCACTGTGACCGAATTGGAATGTTACAAGTCTGTACGGAAGGAGCGCGGTTTCTTGGTAGACCTGACGAGAAACATTAAGTAGTTTCAAACCGTTGTCGCCGGAGAAGACCCAAACAGCAATCTGATAATCGTACCAGGAGTCTTCGTCCAGCTTAGCAACTACATCGCAGAAAACGTAGTGATACACCAGGTTTCTGATTTCGGCGGGAAGGCGGAGGAGGGGAGAGCGTATAGCGTTGCGCTTGGAACTAGATTACCAGATTAGTCACATATTAACCAATTAGCTATTGCAAGAGAGGCTTACATGTGGTCAAGGCGAGCGCGTTCCCGAAGAAGTCGCTTTTGAGCCGCGGCCTTGAGACGAGCGCTACGGCGAGCGCGGTGAAGCATCTGTATCCCGAAAGAGGTCCGAAACATTGCCGACGAGATGGTTGTGTGTGAGCGCGGTAGGCGAAAATGTGGGATGTGGGGTAGATGTTAGATGAGAGCGTGAGGGAAGTGCGGGAGTGTAGTAAAATACGCCAAGGCTACAATGAGGAAGTCGCGTTGTCGTGACGCTGGGTAGCCGTGCGTCATGATGGACGAACATCTCCACCTGCGGCTTGTACCATTTCATGTCTTGCGTTATCCTGTGAGTGATACCAAGGAATAGTCACATCATTGTAGTAGACGTAAGAGTATATCCTTGTCTTGGAAACAATAAAGGTTCGCTGTACGATGCAAAAGTCTTCGATGATACTGAGCCGTTTCGGTCTAGATAGCACTCGCCAATACAAGTGCCCCAACTAATACAAACACGAGACCGCTATTTGCAGAGACAAAATCCGGACCAATGATCTCGGCAATCTTCGGAGAGCATACAATTAAGATCGTCGCGGAAGTCGGCTCCAGTTCCGTGGAGTGTCTCGTTCCAATAAATGACCTTCATATGATCGAGTGCCGCAAGTTGGGCTTCCGATCTCTTATTTGAGAATGTTTGTACTTCTTCAGGAAACCATACACAACCTGCATCCAAGACGAAGGTTGCGAGCTCGTAGGGAAGTAACGCGGTTTCGTGGTAGACCTGACGAGAAGCGAGAAGCAGACCGAGACACAAATATTCAGTGCGACATTTAATCGAAAGGCAGTCCTTGTCCGGTCCTTTGTGTTTATAGACCTGATCACTGAACACGAAGGTGTAGATCGCGTTCCGGATCTCAGCAGGAAGACGAAGAAGCGGAGATTGGGTGGCGTTGAGCTTTGTTCTAGTGTATATGGTGAGTTTAAGAGGCGCTGGGTGGAAATAAAGGTAGTCTTACATCGAGTCGCGGTGAGCAGCATCTCGTAGAAGGTGCACTTCCGCTACGGATTTGTGGGGACTTCCGTCGGCCATCGCGTTGCCTACGGGGACTGAACACGCTGGTGGCGGGATAGCGCTGTGAGTAAAGAATAGACGAAACTGAGATTCGTGGCAGTGGCAACGCGTGTGGGAGGAGTGCGGGGGTGTGATGGGGGAGTCGCGTTGTTGTTGTGGTTGCTGGGTGACCGAGGCGAGTGCGAACCTCATAGCAGTTGCCATTTTGAGAATACGTCATTGAAAACGACTTTTCTAACGCCCGAACGGCTTATTGCCGCAGGGCTTACGACTATTACTAGCAGTGTATTGTCGCACATCGGCTGCGGCAATGTGCCTGACAGGCAGCATCTTGACCGATAGGCAGGGCGGCGGGCAGGGCGACAACGGGGACAACAGGCAAGGCGACAACAGGGCTAACAGGCAAGGCAGGAAAGTTAGCTCGCAAGACGCTAGCTACCTCGTTAACGCTAGGTAAATTAAGAGGGGTGTAAGTAGCTAAGATGTTGTTAATAGGTATAGGCGTTCCTTAAAGGCTGTACTTAACGCCCGCAACGTTAACAAAGAGGATTTTAGCGGCTATAGTTGTGTAAGTTGTAAAAGTAACAAAAACGCTAAGGTGCGCATTATATATTCCTTAACTGTTAACTTACTGCAGTGTGCAATTTAATATTCTAGTTCCCTTTTATCTTATTTATAGTACTATAATAACGCAGAGCGAGACGAGCTACTTATAACTCCTAAATTACATAACTACTACATACGCAAAAGGTACTCCTTATTAAATGAGGGACATCGCAATACTTAGAGTCTGCGGCAATGTGCACAAAGAGCAAGGAGAGTATGAAGAATGTATTGCTGAAGCCTTGCTCAGTGGATGCCATTCTTTTAAGAGACAGTACAACTACTAACAAAAGCTCCATCGTCGGCGTCGTCCTGAAAACTGATCTTGAAGCCTCGGCAGATGGCTTCCGAACGGCTAAGAGAAGTACTCCTGGCAGCCCAACTCTGCAGCCCAGTACGCCGCATCTCCTGTCCACATGCCCTCCATCTTCTGGTTCCCTCGTGCTTTCTGGATCTGGATATCCAATAGTCCTCCACCCATACAGACCTGCATCCTGCCAAGAATCTCAGCCTGCGCCATCGTTCTATCCTTCAAAAAGGACTTCATTACCATCTCCTTGGGACCGACTTTACGATAGGCGGAGGTGATAGAGACACCAAAATCGAATATTGCGAGCTTATAAGGATGTAGGGCGGCTTCGTGGTGGGTTTGACGAGAGGCTAGCAGCAATGCCATTCCGGGGTACTTTTGGGTATGCAGATCGGTAACGTTGGATGCAGGTCTAACACCTCCGCTGAGAAGCCACTCTCCAATGTCAAGCTTGGGAGTCTTCTCAAGCTTGAAGACCGCATCATGGAAGACATAGACATAGATCATGTCTCTGATCTCGGCGGGTAGACGAAGGAGTGGAGACTGAATAGCGTTGAGCTCGGTGCTATTTCATTGTCAGTAATTGCACTGGCACTGAACAATGGAGAGACTCACATCTTATCGAGCCGCGCACGCTTGCGTCTCTCTAGCTCTTGAGCGAAAACCACTTCCTTCCCCATGGACGCTGAAGACATTGATGGCGACCTTGTGAGTGAGCGTCGAGATAGTGAAGTCGAAGGAGTCGAGGAATGTGACGGTGGAGCGAGAGTGCGAGAGCAGTGCGGGTGTGAGAGGGTAAGAGCCTCTGCCAAGGCTGGAAAGAGGCAGGCGCGTTGTGGTCGTTGCTGGGTGACCATGCGAGGTGAGTGCGAACTTCAAATTGGAACACGACTTGCATAGCTTGCTGTAGCATATCTGACTAGGCCTAGCCGCTGTATCAGTGGGGAAAGTGCGACTAGTGACATGCTTATCGTTCAGTCACTTTCAATACGATGAACGTATGCGAAGCACGAAGATCAATGAGCTTGATAGTATTTGAGCCACTGCAGCTACGGAGAAGCCGGTGATCAGGATACCTAGGCAGATACACGATGACTGTTCGGGAGAATATCACACTGACCGCCACCATTCCGAGTGTCATCCTTGCTATCTAACGATTAAGTAAGTTCCGCAATATTGTACGAGCAAAGATCTCCGAAAGCATTGCCTAGTTCGAGGCCTCCGCAAATCTCGCGACCCAGTAAGCCCCAGTCTCAAGTCTCAACTGAGCATCGTCTTCGTAATCAATCCGTTCCTCACATACCACTGGAGTACAGGAACACTCCCATGAAGAGCGCGATTACCCAGTCCGCAGATGCCTGGCCTAGCTATCAGATGGTCCGAGAGACGAGATATCGAAGTTCAGACGTTGAGTATGGTCCATCTTGGCGGCAGAGGTGCGGAGATCCTCCAGCTTGGCGACCCAGTATGCAGCAGTCCTTGTTCGATGCCATCGCTTTCTCAATGCGATTGACCATTGGCTGAAGTACACGTTATCCGTCGCATCAATCTGCCTAGACGACAAGCGTCCAAGAAGTCTCTCCAGCGCCCAGAGCCCGTCGATCCCCTGCTTCTGGATGTTCAAAAGGTAGAGCAGACCAAGCTCATAGGGTAATAGAGCCATCTCAGAGTGCAACTGGCGACAGACGAGAGAAACGCTATCGAGTTTCCACACATAATCCAGATGATTGACTTTTAGATAAGGACGTGACACAAAGCCTATGCATCCAAATGCGTAGTCAGCCTTGTAAGCCATCTCATCATAGACGTAGGTGAAGATCATGTTCCTAATCTCAGCTGGAAGACGAAGCAATGGCGAGTTGACGGCATTGGAGATGCTGCTATAACACATTATTAGTAACATACGCATTTATCAGGATAAATAACCTACATCAGATCGCGAGCACATGGACCGCGAGGATCATCCTGAGGAACATCCTGGGCTGAATGAACTTGATCGGGTAGAGTTTTCTCCAGAGCGGCAGCCGGATCCTGCAGTTCCTTGAGGCGTTCCTTCTTGGCCGGCTGGTAGGTAGGCGGAGACTTTAAGGCACGCTTGCGCTTGGCCATGGTGACTTGAGCTTGGTGATTCGGCAGGAAGACGAAATGTGCTGGTAAGAAGAGGAGGGAGTTGCAGGAGAGAAGAAGAAGGGTAGAGGAGACTGTCGGGCTAGTTGAATAAAGAGGCATCTTGAGTGCTCACCGATCGAGATGAACGGTGAACGGTGAGTTCTAGTTTGGGCTGAAGATTCATCGTGTATTTGCAAGCTTGCTAAACGCCAAATTAAGGTATCGTACGAACTAAAGAGATGAGACAAATAAGTAAATGCAAACAACTTAGACCGAAACAAGAGAAGACCAAAAGACATATATACCATCCCGCGCATATCCCAAATCAAATTATCCCCCATCCTGAACAAAACAATTTACACCCACTTTTGAGAAGACATCACAACCATCACTTACTGAATCCTCTCGTCTCGATCCGTAGCACCGTAACCCGCGGGTTTTCTGGCACGACCCGTAACATCACTCCACGCAGCACCAAACCTACGTCCAGTGCTAGCCAAGAGACCCTCCTCCTCTTCCTCCTCAAGATCACGATCGATCTGTTCCTGGTCGAGACTAGGCGCCTTGAACAGCGTAGTCAAGAAGACGATGAGATAGACACCCAAGAAGGCGAATTGAGCCCAGAAGAGGACGACGCCGAAGAAGGGGAAGTTGATGGTGACGCGGTTAATGAAGGTGCTGAGGACGGAAGGCGTGCAGACTTGCTGAGCGGCAGGGTTGGTAGCGAGTTCGCTGCAGGCCTTGATGAGGTCCTTGTGCTCGGTGCAATCGGGCTGTTCGTCTCGGCTGTTGGTCTTCATGTCGCAGTAGGTTTGCGGACCCCAAGTCGCGTATTGGGGTGCGACGACCATGGCGACAGAGTAGTTGATTGCGAGGGTGATGAGTGTGAGGAGGACCGTAGCCATTAGGAGTGCCTGGGGCGAAGTGTGGCCCTTGCGGATCTTGAAGATGGTGATCCACAGGAAGCGAATACCAGCGGTCGCAATGCCGACAACAGAGGCGGAGAAGAAGAAAAGGACGAGGAGGAGGAACATAACATAGTCGATAGGGAATACCTTGGCGGACTTGACGAGGATGTAGTTGAGCGGCTGGAAGATGTTGATGTGGCCGAGGATGTAGCCGCAGTGGGCGCCGCAGATGGAGTTCTTGGCCTTGTCGATGCCGGTGATGAGCATGCTGGCGAAAATGACGAGGGCGAAGACCATCAGGATGAGGCCGCCGATGAGCTTGAGCGGGCGGAAGAAAGCTTCGGTCTTGATCCAGGCCTTGACGATCCAATGGCGGTCCTCGCCGCTTGACTCGGCAGCGAGACGCTCGCGGCGGATGAGGGTGCGCTCTTCGCGAACGAGGGCTTCCAATTCGCGTCTGTCCCTGCTGTCCAGTCCGCCCTCGCTGCCTTCGTTGCGACCTTCGAGCTGTCTCTGGCGCTCGCGGTTGTTCTCCAGCTGGGACGCGGTGTTTGCGGCAAGCGTGGGGGCTGAGACGGAGGGCGCGGACTTGATCATGGCGACGGGGAGGAGGGCCATGCCAGCACCGGTGTAGAGCACGAAGAGGACCGTTCCGACGGTGATGAGAAAGCCGAGGCCGAAGGATAGAGCGCGTTCGCCATCTAATGGAGTTAGCCAATGTCATCAAATAACGAAAGTTGCTGCTTACGGTTCTCTGACAGCAAGTGCTTGAAGTAGTCGAGGTCCAGACGCTTGTCATCCTTGGCCTGCTTCGCAAAGGGCACGAAGAAGCCAACGAGGAAGATTGCGACTACGAAGATGAGGAAGCCGAGAGTCCACTTGAGAGCACCAGCAATGCGCTGGCCAGCCGTCTGCTCGCCGTGCTCAGCCGCGTCCTCATCGTATTCCTCGTACCAGAAGTAGGTAAAGGGAATGACGAGAAGGCAGAGAAGCGCATCGAGCGAGTAGAGCGTGTAGTAGACGATGCGCAGAGTGTAGACAATGCTGTCGACCTTCTCCGGTGTCGCCCAATCCTTCTTGCGGCCTAAGCTAGATCTCGAGGTGGATGAGACGAGAGCGACGTCGACAGGTATGAGGAGTACGGTTGCGAGCAGCGCAAGAGTAGTGAAGATGCAGACAATGGTAACGGCAGCGGCGCGATCCCGCGGCTTCTGGTAGACATAGACGAATGTGGACGCGATGAGAAAGAGGATTCCCACGGCGACGGCGTAGGCGACCCAGATGAGAGAGGTCTGTATCAGCGCCATGTTGATACCCGTGAACTGCAGTTGCTATCGCTGGAGGAGAGAAGAGGGGATTCCAGGTAGAAGCCGTCGCTGTTTGGAATGACGTCTAGCGGCCAGAACCCTGCTTCGATCCTGCCCAGAACAGCTAGCATGGGTCGCACCTTCCCGGGCTGGAGCTCCAGCACAACACGCTAGACAGAATCGCGCATGAGCTCTTTTGACGCGACCTCGGTCAACACCACGACCGCGCTGAGCTATCCCGCCCCCCCAATCATTTGAAGCACGACTGCCATGAGAAGAGTGGCAGCGACCTTCCACCACCACCATGCAGTGCTACACTGAGATAGCCCCGCCCACCGCCGTCAGCCACGCCATCAGCCTGCCCTTCGTGCACTCTAGGTCAAACAACCTAGTCGTCGCAAAGAACTCGCTGCTCCAGATCTTCGAACTCAAGGCGACCACGACCGAAGTCACCCCGGGCGGAGGAAACGAGTCGGAGAATGCCGCGGCCAACCTCGACACAGAGGCGGCCGACGTGCCGTTGCAGCGCACCGAGAGCACGGCCAAGCTGGTGCTGGTGGGCGAGTTTCCCCTCGCCGGCACCGTCATATCGCTGGCGCGCGTGAAAGCACTCAACACAAAATCAAAGGGCGAGGCGCTGCTGGTGGCGTTTCGGGATGCAAAGCTCAGTTTGGTGGAGTGGGACCCGGAGACGTACAACCTCCATACAATATCAATACACTACTATGAGAACCCAGACTTGCCCGGCATTGCCCCTTGGTCCGCTGATCTCAAAGACACGTACAACTTCTTGACGGCAGACCCCAGCAGCAGATGCGCCGCCCTCAAGTTCGGCACCCACAACCTCGCCATTCTGCCCTTTCGCCAGCGTGATCTCGTCGAAGATGACTATGATTCCGATGCTGAGGCTCCCAAGGAGACCAAGGCTGAGCAGGCGGATGGCGAGAAGAAGACGCCGTATTCGTCCTCCTTCGTCCTCCCACTCACCAACCTCGACCCTACCCTTACACACCCCGTCCACCTCGCCTTTCTGCACGAGTACCGCGAACCCACCTTTGGCATAGTCGCTGCCTCGCGAGCCACCGCCCCGTCATTACTCGCCCACCGAAAAGACATCCTCACCTACTCCGTCTTCACACTCGATCTCGAACAAAAGGCCTCTACTACACTCCTCTCAGTCACCGGACTGCCCTACGACATCACGAGAGTAGTACCGCTGCCATCTCCAATTGGCGGTGCTCTGTTGGTAGGAGGGAACGAGATTATACACGTCGACCAGGGAGGAAAGACGAATGGCGTGGCTGTCAACGAGTTTGCCAAGGCCTGCACATCATTCCCGCTCAGCGACCAGTCAGATCTGGCCCTCCAATTGGAAGGATGCCAAGTCGAGCTGTTATCGCAGGACACGGGTGATGTGATGATCGTGCTCAACAGCGGGCGCATCCTTATCCTGACATTCACTCTCGACGGCCGTACTGTGTCTGGAATGACTATTCAGACTGTCTCCCAAGACCATGGCGGTCAAATCCTCAAAGCTGCCGCTTCATGTACAAGCAATCTCGGCAGAGGGCGACTGTTCGTTGGAAGCGAGGACGGCGAGTCAGTAATGCTAGGCTGGACTGGCTCATCCACTCAACTGCGACGCAAGCAGACGAATTCTGATTCGGATGGCGACGAGGACATGTCTGACGAGGAGGATATGGATGATATGGAGGACGATCTCTACAACGATACAGCTCCGGCGGTGCAAAAGATCACCGCAGCTGTATCTGAGCCCACGGCGCCAGGAACGTACACATTCAGGATACACGACGTCTTGCCAAGTATAGCACCGATAAAGACCGCCGTCCTCCATCCTGGCAAGGTTACCGATTCTCTGAACAAAGGCGAGATCATGCTATCCACAGGTAGAGGGTCGGCTGGAGCCATCACCGCTCTTGACCGCGAACTTCACCCGGTCAGTATCGCGACCAAAGAGCTTCCCTCAGCGCATGGCGTGTGGGCTGTGCATGCTCGAAAGCAAGCCCCAGGAGATGTGACTGCTGCATTTGGAGAGGACACTGAAGCCAACATGGCTACTGATGTGGACTATGACCAGTATCTGGTTGTCTCCAAGACCATCGACGACGGCACTGAAACTACTGTGGTCTACGAAGTCAACGGCAACGAGCTGACTGAAACCGACAAGGGCGATTTTGAGCGTGAAGAAGGCTCAACTCTCTTTGTGGGTGTGCTGGCCGCTGGCACAAAGGTTGTCCAGGTCATGCGGACAGAGGTCAGGACGTACGATTCGGGTAAGCCATGTCGTCCACATTATCAGCCTTCTCAGACTAACATGGTTGACTAGAACTTAATATGGACCAAATCCTACCCATGGAAGACGAAGAGAACGGAAACGAGATCAACGTCATCAACGCCAGTTTCGCAGACCCCTACCTACTCATCCTGCGCGAGGACTCTAGTGTCAAGATATTCAAGGCTACCGGCGATGGAGAACTTGAAGATGTTGAGGCGAGTGGGCTGACGGGAACAACATGGCTTTCGGCCAGTCTGTTCAAGTCATCCAGTTTCACGGAAGTCTTTGCCTTTCTCCTGACACCAGAAGGTGGTCTTCGCGTGTTTGCCATGTCTGACATGGAGAAGCCGTGTTACGTTGCTGAGGCGTTGAGCTTCTTACCGCCGGTCTTAGCAATGGATTATGTTCCTAAGCGGAGCGCCATCAAAGCTACCATTACCGAGATTCTGGCAGCGGACTTGGGAGACGCGACTACAAAGTCGCCTCATCTGATCGTAAGATATTATATCATACTCACGTTACTCCAGCGACTAACCATATCCAGATCCGCACTTCCAGCGATAACCTCGTCATCTACAAGGCTTTCCACTCTCCATCACGATCTGCTTCGGAACTCTGGACTCAAAACCTGCGATGGGTCAAGCTGTCGCAACAGCACATACCAAGATACATCGAAGATGCAGGCTCTGAGGACCAAGGGTTCGAAAGTACACTCTTGGCGGTGAGCGATATCTGCGGCTACAGTACCGTCTTCCAGCGAGGCACAACCCCAGCTTTCATCTTCAAGGAGTCATCAAGCGCACCACGCGTGATTGGTCTTAGTGGTAAGCCTGTCAAGGGTCTTACATCGTTCCACACATCGAACTGCCAGCGCGGATTTGCCTACCTTGATTCCACTGACACATTGCGCATCTCTCAACTTCCGCCTCAAACACACTACGGTCACCTCGGATGGGCAACACGACGCATGCCCATGGACGCGGAGGTGCACGCCCTTGCCTACCACCCGGCAGGGTTATACGTTGTTGGAACGGGTCAGTTCGAAGAGTACCAACTGGATCCCAGTGAGACGTACCACTATGAGTTACCCAAGGAGGACATGAGCTTCAAGCCCAAGATTGAGCGTGGCGTCATGAAATTACTAGACGAAAAGTCCTGGACGATTATCGACACACATATTCTGGATCCACAGGAAGTCATTCTATGCATCGAAACGCTCAACCTCGAAGTCAGCGAAGTAACACACCAACGCAAAGACCTCATCGCAGTCGGCACTTCAATTGTGCACGGCGAAGATCTCGCAACTAAGGGTTGCATCCGTATCTTCGAAGTCATCACTGTTGTACCGGAGCCGGATCGTCCGGAGACCAACAAGCGCCTCAAGCTCATCGTTAAGGATGAGGTCAAGGGCGCGGTATCCGCCATCTCAGGGCTAGGAACACAAGGCTTCATGATCATGGCTCAGGGACAGAAGTGCATGGTCCGAGGTCTCAAGGAAGACGGTACCTTGCTTCCTGTCGCGTTCATGGATATGCAATGTTACGTCAGCGACTTGAAGAACTTGCCTGGAACGGGTATGCTGGCTATGGCTGATGCGTACCGGGGTGTCTGGTTCACGGGATACACAGTAAGTTTTCCCCGGATCACAGTAACTCGGCCGTATGAGATATGATGCTAATAGCGAAAACAGGAAGAGCCCTACAAGATGTCTCTCTTCTCCCGCTCAAAGCATAATCTAGAAACCATCGCAGTGGATTTCCTGCCTTTTGACCAACAACTCCACCTCATCGTCGCAGACGCTGATATGAATCTGCAAGTCTTGCAATTCGATCCAGATAGTACGTCTCCCATCCTCACCTCTAGACCTACACATCCAAACAGTCAACTAACACATCCATCTCACAGACCCCAAATCCGAAGCCGGCTCCCGCCTCCTTCACAAATCCACCTTCCACACCGGCCACTTCCCCACCTCCCTCCACCTCGTCCAATCCCACCTATCCCTCCCTTCAACAACCGATACCTTCGCGTCCAACCCCGCCGCCACCGACGAAGACGACATGGACACCACAACCCCCTCCCCACCATCCACCCAACCCCCCCTCCACCAAATCCTGCACACAACACAATCCGGCACCCTCGCCCTGCTCACCCCTCTAACAGAAGATTCCTATCGCCGTTTATCTAATTTGACGGCTTACCTCGCCAACACGCTCGACTCGCCGTGTAGTTTGAATCCGCGCGCGTTTAGAATGGGCAGCGAGGCGACGGGTGATGGCGGGTGGGATGCGGGGACTGGAGCGAGGGGTGTGCTTGATGGGAATCTTTTGATGAGGTGGGGTGAACTTGGAGAGAGGGGGAGGAGAGAAGGGTTGGGTAAGTATGGCGAGGGTGAGGAGGGGAGTTGGTTGTTTTGGGGGGAGAGGGAGGTTCTGGGGGGGTGGGGGGTTTTTGGGGGTAGAGGTCGGTAGGGGTGTTAGGAACAGTGTCCATGGACGTTAGATGTAGAAAAGAGATTAGTTGAGGGTTTTGATATGGACTACTTGCAAGTAGTGCATGATGATCCGGGCTGCTGGGCTGATGATGCTTGAGTATACTCTGATGTCATTATGTACTGCTGAACGTCGATTGATACTAGAACCCGCTTTTTCGCATGTTAGCCAGAGTGTATATGTTGCTGTTGCCTTGACGTTGTGCCTAAGGCGTCTTCTCGGCCTTACTCGCGATCAAATTCTCCATGTGGCTGAGGCGAAGCTGCGCGATGGCGCAAAGGCAAAAGAAGGGTCCCCTTCCGGCACCCGGAACTTCGCCAATCTTCGGCGATAAGAGCCCTGCCTGATCGCCCCCGCGCTCATTGGCTCGGCCAAAAGCGGTCATAGCGTACCTTCATCGAAGCTTCCCAAGCAATGCGCAACGGCAAACGCATGTTCTCACGCCATGTGCAGACATTGTGATAGTGAATATCGGACTTCGCAGTGACATTGGATAGAGTGGAGCCTGCTGCGTAGTTTGGGCAGGCAGACGAGCGGATTCAGGCAATCTTGGGCTGGCGAGGCAGCGTGGAAGGCCATGGAATTGTTTGGAATCTTCTCTCGCTCGGCGCAGCCGGTGCATTTGCAACATCCCGGTTACTACTTTTAAGTCGACAAGCGTCGCCCTCCCACGCACCCCAATATACACTGTGAACACGCACCTTGCCTCCGAGTCAGATACCCGTTCTCTTTACTTCTCCACCGCGAAGATTCTCCCGCGGCGACTCTCGGTAAGCGCCTTTTTGCTCATTGTGTCAGCACTTCGACGAGTTACCCGCGCCTTCTTTCACCTGCAAGGCTGAGCTGCAACCGGGCGACTACTGCGACTTTTGGCCCCCCGAGACTTGACGCTGACTTGATTTAAGGACTTCCCGACACCGCGACTCGCGCTCTCCACAGATCACCCAGAGACCTTTCTCTATTGCCCCTCAACCCGACTTTTACGACCCCGCTAGCCCCTCGTCTACGCAATCACCACACAACCACGAACCGCGACCATGGTCAAAGATACAAAGTTCTACGATATCCTGGGGGTAAGCACACCCATCTCCACGAACAGCTCAAGGCGAGAAGACTAACAACCCACAGGTAGCGCCAGACTGCGCCGAGTCACAACTAAAGACGGCGTACAAGAAGGGAGCGCTCAAGTGGCATCCCGATAAGAACGCCCACAACCCCGAGGCCGCCGACAAGTTCAAGGACCTCTCCCACGCATACGAAGTTCTCTCAGACCCCCAGAAGCGCCAAATATACGACCAATATGGCGAGGAAGGACTCGAGCAAGGCGGCATGGGCGGCGGTGGCGGCATGGCAGCCGAGGACCTTTTCGCGCAGTTCTTCGGCGGCGGCGGCGGCCCCTTTGGCGGCATGTTTGGCGGCGGCATGGGCGGCGGACGCGAACAAGGACCCAAGAAGGCGCGCACAATCTCGCACGTCCACAAGGTCTCGCTCGAAGACGTCTACCGCGGCAAGGTCTCCAAGCTCGCCCTACAGAAATCCGTCATCTGCCCCAAGTGCCATGGCGCGGGTGGCAAGGACGGCGCCGTCAAGAAGTGCGCTGGCTGCGACGGCCGCGGTATGAAGCATATGATGCGCCAAATGGGACCCATGATTCAGCGCTTCCAAACCGTCTGCCCAGACTGCCAGGGCGAAGGAGAAATCATCCGCGACAAGGACCGCTGCAAGCAGTGCAACGGCAAGAAGACGATAATCGAGCGCAAGGTCCTGCACGTCCACGTCGACCGCGGCGTCAAGTCCGGCCACAAGATCGAGTTCCGAGGCGAGGGCGACCAACTCCCCGGCGTAGAGCCCGGCGACGTAGTGTTCGAAATCGAGCAGAAACCACACGCGCGCTTCCAACGCAAAGACGACGACCTCTTCTACCACGCCGAAATCGACCTCCTGACCGCGCTGGCCGGCGGCCAGATCCACATCGAGCACCTCGACGAGCGCTGGTTAACCGTCGACATCATCCCCGGCGAATGCATTTCCCCCGGCGAAGTCAAAGTCATCCGCGGGCAGGGCATGCCGTCGTACCGCCACCACGACTTTGGCAACTTGTACATCCAGTTCGACGTCAAGTTCCCCGAGCGCCTCGGTAACAACGAGGACGGCGGGCCCATGTCCCCTGAGCAGATTCGCGCCCTGGAGTCTGTGCTGCCGCCCCGTAAAGTACCGGAGTCTATGCCGCCGGCTGATGCTATGACGGAGGACTTTACGCTTGAGGATGTGGATGCGGGTGGGGAGGGCCAGCGCGCGAGGGGTATGGGCGGTATGGAGGATGAGGATGATGATATGCATCCGGGGGCTGAGCGCGTGCAGTGTGCGTCTCAGTAAGAGGTGTGTAGCGTCTGTGCTGGGGTAGATGATGGAGTTAGCATGATTTTACGATGCATGAATGCAAGAGTACGAGGTACATGGGGACGTGGCGTGGTGGAGTTTCTTTCTGCATTGGAGGTTTTCGACAAAGAGCTTCTGCGATACGATACCATATCAACGGGAGAGGGAGAGAGAGTCGTGTGTTTCCCTTCTTTTACTTTTTGTAAGCAAAGGCATCATTATAGTCTTTGTGGCTTGTTGCCGGGCGTTCCTTTAGACAGGGGAAGAGCCACGACAATGGCATATCTTGGTAAAGTGTGGGTTTAGTAGATGCAAATGCGATGGTTCTGTGATACTTGTTCATGGAGAGTGCAAGTAGATGATTGATGTTGATGTCTTGACGTGTGAAGTCGCTCATTATGACATGATGTTGTGATGAGTAAATAGCTGAAGGGGAATGTTGTGATTACTAGTAAGACCGAGAATCCACCTTCCTTGCCTCAAACGTTCCCCTCAACACCAAAAAGTTCAACCCTGCTCCTCCTGATCTTCAAACCACTTCAACCAGCCCTCTCCAGAAAACATACGCGAAGGGCTTCCATGGGTAGGCCACCTCCACCTCACATCCAACATCAGCTCAAGCTGCTCCCGTGTCCGCCGCTTCAGAAACTCACGCATTGCGCTCAAATACTTTCCCGAGACTATGAAGTTGTTGAGGAGGTAGGGTAGGAGGGAGACTTCGGAGTGGATCTGCCGGCAGACGAAGAGGAGGGGGGCTGGGGAGGGGGGGATGTTGGGAGGGTCTCGTAGAATTCGCCGATCTTGGGTCGAGGGACTGAAGACTAGGGAAATGGTGGAATGGCTCATGGCGAGGGCGAAGATTTCGTTTCTGATCTCAGCGGGGAGACGGAGGAGGGGGGAGGTTGTTGCGTTGCGCTCGAAGCTATGAGAGTCAGTCGTGATGGCTCTACCGCAACTGGACACTGATTTACATCTTATCCGCCCGATGGGTCTGCTGCGCGATTCTGGTTTCGGCTTCTGGCTGCATTGTGGAGACAGACATACTGGAGCTGTGCTTGTGTGCGGGTAGCTGGTGGGGTGGTGTGTAGGAGTCTGGCGTAGATTTCAGAAATCGGCTACTGAACCGCGAGTGCGATGTATAAGCCTAGGTGTAGTGAGCAAGCGCTTTTGTAGTAGTGGTGGGTGTATGTAGTACTGAATTCAACTGTATGTATGACCTGGTGGTGGCTACGAGGGGAGTGTAGAAGGGAAGGAGCGCTGGAACAAGAAAGAAGTGTATTGACTAGTCTGCGCGCTAGTCGCAAAGGGTAGGTGAGGGTGACAGTAGCCCTGAACCTAGTCTTTTGAGATTTTGCTGCACTATTTGGCTGCTACAAAGAACTTGGAAACCGCCATTGGTAAGAGAAGCACACTGTGTACGAATACTCCGGGTGAAGAGACTATCGTGTCCGCCTCCTACAGTGACGATGTCAAACTGACCACACACCTCGCATCGATCGTCGCCACCATCTACTCCCGCCCTTCAAGTCTCCTTCTCCAGCATTTTCTTGAGAAACGCCATCCATTTGGCAGCAGATGCTACGTGCACTTGCTGGCCGTGGTTACTGAGCTTGCACATCACTTTGACCATGAGATCAAGTTGATCTGGCGTTCGCTGTTTCAGAAAGTCGCCGAGATCGGCATAGCGATGGAAAGTGATGGAGAAAACGTTAAGTTTGTATGGTAGTAAGGCGACCTCCGAGTTGATCTGGCGACTGACGAAGAGCAGAGGTTCAGCTGGACGCGGTGCAGATTCGGCAATAGTCGTACGAGGGTTGTATTTCTGGTGTAGGTTGATGGTTTCATGATACATGGCGTACTCGAAGATCATGTTTCGCAATTCTGCCGGGAGGAGGAGGAGAGGCGAGGTTCTAGCGTTGAGGTAGGTGCTTCAAAGAAGGTTGCGTCAGTGTTGGTCAAGGCACGCCTTTCAAAAATTAACTCACATCGCATTGAGCTCCTCTTCGCTCTTGGGCTCCTCTGATCGCGCTTCGGAAGAGGTCATACTGGAGCTAGTGTCTTCTTGCTGCTCCTTGGGAAGCGACATGCTGTGCTTGATGATGGTATAGGGTAGCCGACGAAGGTGGATGAGTGAGTGTAGAAGAGAAGAAAGGATTAGGATGAGAGGTATATATAATTGCTCCTCGGCGCGCTAGTCGATGATCACGAAGAACTGTTAAAAGTAAAGTTAGAGGTGAAGGTCAGAGTTGAGAAATGGTTATCTTATTTGCTAGACTGCTTTGCTGTAGGTAAGAGAGAAGTTGGAAAAAAGCAGTTCTGAACGACCAACTTCACCACCAAGAAGATATGTATGATGAGATGCAATGTAGACGTAGAGACGGTGCTCAACTCTACATAGCATTCCATCTGCCATATGAAGCCCTAGTCTCGACTCTTCCATGTTCTCGCGCTGCAAACCTTCAGTCGCTCCAACCATTCAGTCGCGGGTCGCGCTCCCAAACGCGTGTCCGGTTGCCTTCGCACTTTCGCAAGAGCGCCAATCTGTGCCAATGTCCGGTGTGCAAAGAAGTCCTGGAACGCGCTGTCGTTCCCGAAGACCACAAAAACATTGAGCTCGTATGGAAGGAGTGCGGTCTCGAAGTAAATCTGACGACATGCGTAGAGGGGACTAATGTTGAAAGGATTTGCCCAGTTGCGATGCTTCCAACAGCCCTTACGACCGGGTCCGTTTATTATCCTGGGAATGACCTTCAGCTCGATGTCGCCGTGGCTGAGAGCGTAGGCGAAGATTATGTTGCGGATTTCAGCTGGGAGACGAAGAAGTGGGGAGGCGGTAGCATTGTGTTGAGTACTGCAGTTATGTGTTAGTGCCCGTTCCCGAGAGCGTTGTATCATCTTGCGACCTACATCTGAGCGCGCGCTTCGTCTGGCTCCTGTTCAAAATCCATGTCGGCGTCGGCGTTGGTGTTGGGCTTTGCGGAAACAGTTCATCAAAGTCGATATAGGAGCGGGGAGGAATTAAAATGGCAGGTATGTATTGTTGCGGTCAGTGCGTAGGTCGCACAAGGCAGGTGCATGTAACCAGTAGTTTCACCCCTCAATTGTTGGCAATCACTGGGTACAAGTCTCGTCCGGCCTATCGCCACAATGGCGACGAGAAGAATCGTCCACTCGCTCTCGCGAATGCAGACATACAGCGCTGTCAAGCCTCCGTCTCATCAGTCTCATCATTCTTCCAGGAGGACGAGAAAGCCTCCGCTTCTATAAAAGCCATCCATTCCGTTGCGGACATAGGCTCTCCAGCGTTTCCAGAATAAGAGTCTCGCTCGCTGATACTACCCATCACTTCCCTCTGCTTCACTGTCCTCTGATAAAGAAAGTTTTTCGGAGGCTCACGTTGGTAAAGGAAATCGACAGCAAACGTGTTAAGCTTGTAGGGAAGAGTGGCAGTCTCAGCATGGGTTTGTCGACACACGAAGAGGAGGTTGAGCGGTTGTCGAACGTAGTCTGGCCGACAATCCTCGGAAAACATGAACCTCCAGCGCGCCCTAGACCAGAAGATCTCAATGATAGGCTGTGTGAGGGCAAGGGCAAAGATCTGGTTGCGGAGCTCGGCAGGAAGACGCAGAAGAGGTGATTTGGCGTTTTGCTGGGTGCTAAAGGGACGTGTCAGTATAGGGCATCCTAATTCGTGAACGCGAGGAACTTACATTTGATCGCGATCGCTCTCTGACTGCTCCTCTGGCGCCGACATATCGGCTTTGACGTCAGTGTTGATTGCCGCAAAGTTGGTTGAAGGAGACGTGATCTTGAGAGCTGGGGAAGAGTAAGAGCATGGGAACGAGAGAAGTATACATAGGGATCTAGTCAACGCGCTAGTGGAGGTGATTACGAAGCCAGTCCCACTTCGGGTGTACCCGCGAGAAGGCGCCACCACTGCACCTGGTCAACCGCCACCTTGTGGCAACAGAAACATGTTCGTGTCCTCACATTCCATACTCTCAAGGACGCAACGTCTCGGCCGTGGCAACCAGCGCTCCATCCATACTTTCGCAGACCCCATGTATACCGTATGTTTGCCTCCAAACTCGTCAACGGACCATACTTTCTCCATGACCTCCCTCTGCGTTGCGGTCAATTTCTCGACGAAGTGCATTGGATCATGCCAATAGTACCGCTCATACCCTTCTCTTATCCTCTCCCAGGGCCTGTTCAATTCGATCACCCATGTATTGACTTTGTACGGAAGCAGTGCGGTCTCGGCGTGGATTTGGCGACACACGAACAGGAGGTTGACGGGCCGCTTGAGGTAGTTGAGACGCTTGAAATTGCGGACTGGGCGCTTTTTCAGCTTGAAGGAACAAGACCTCGCCGAGAAGCTGATGGGGTTGTAGAAGATGTTGCAGAATTGCTTGTAGTGGTAGCGATATTCGAAGCCTCGGCGTTCAGCTCGTTTAATGTTCCAACGATGAGAGCGTTCTGGAAAGATTATCGGGATGTAGCCGTGATTGAGGGCGAGAGAGAAGATGTGGTTGCGGATCTCGGGGGGAAGACGGAGGAGTGGGGATGAGGTAGCGTTGCGCTCGGTGCTAGCAAGACCTGTTAGCTGACAGTGTTGAATTATAGGAGGCTTTGACGAACATGTCGTCTCGACGTTCATTTGGGCGGTTCGTCGTCCCACACTTGGTGCGCTGCGTTTTCGAGGTCGACATACTGGAGTCGGACTCTGATTTGGCGAGCTGAAGGGCGAATATTTGAGATCAGGGGAGGAGTATGAGGCAATGGAAGTAAAACCAGAATAGAGTATATACTGTTTGGGTCAGTGCGCTAGGTACGAAGTGACAAGAAGTGAAGCAACTTGAGTAGCATTACTCGACACGAATAAAAGGACCGCTCATTGAAATGCAAGCTCGCCATTGTTTGGAAATACCCAGAGCCTCTGCTGTGCCCTAGATGGCTCTTAGGACTTGGGAGGCCTCGTAGCTGGGAGGACAGGATTAAAAATCTCCAATTCAGCCATCACGTCACTCTAACCCAGCTTGACACATGGCCATCCATTCAGCCGCCGAGAATACCAGCTTCCTACCGCTATTATACGGGTATTCGCGTGGCACCGCTAGCATAGCCGCCCTTTGCGCAGGCGTTCGGCACTTCAGAAACTTGTACAAGGAGATTGTGTGGATCTTTATACATGAAAATGTGTTCAGTGAGTAGGGGAGAAGGGCAGTCTCCACATAAGTCTGCCGACAAACGTAGAGAAGGTTGACCGAGTTCTTGTTCTTGAGCCAGGCGCCGTAGTTCCCCTTGATATCTCCCTGAGTAAGGGCAAGGGCAAATATGTGGTTGCGGAGTTCGGCGGGGAGGCGAAGGAGAGGAGACTCTGCATTGCGCTGGGAACTGCCGTCTTTTGTCAGTCACCGTTACTTCGTCTTATCTGTGGCGAACTCACATCTCGTCCCGGGTAGTGGCTGCATGAGAGGCAGTCGTAAGCTCAGTACTGTAGTCGGGAGTGGGATCTACGCTGTCGCTATGTGTCAGTCCTTATTCCCTCTTGACCGCGGCAATTGACTTACATATCGTTGACGATCGGGTTGGTGCCATGCGCGAGATCAGATCTGGCGCCCTCGGAGTGCTTCTTCGGACTCGACATGCTGTAATCGAGGCTGAAATCTTGGTCACTGGAGCGGATGCGTACGTTGGAGACAAAACGAGAGAGTGATGGAACAGGGTAGAAACTGTAGATATCTACACTACGTCAGTGCGTCAAGCATAACGCCAGTGAGAAGGCAACAACGACTCCTTCACTTCCATGAGAGACTTCCGAGCACCGCAATTTCCCCCCAGAAACCCCCCGCTAAGATCCAGGTTTCCAGTCAAGCCAATAGACCCAGGACGGATCCCCTCGCGTACTCAAACATGATACCCATTCAGTCGCAGACATACGCCTATAGAAGAGCCATCTGCGCTCCCAACGCGTCTTGACGTACTTCCATCTCCTAATCACATCCTGCATGAGCTCAATCTGAGTAGCCGTCCGTCGCTTGAGGAACGCGACTAAGCTGACGGGACTGTCTCGGCAGATCTCGAAGCTGTTCAGCCTGTACGGCAGGAATGCCGTTTCGGAATAGATCTGACGACAAACGTAGAGAAGGCTGAGTAAATTCTTGTCACGCGACTTGACCACATAGCCGCATGAGTCTGGGGGACCGAGAATGAATCTCTCGTGGTAGAGGGCGTAGGCGAAGATCGAATTTCGTAGCTCGGGGGGCAGGCGGAGGAGGGGCGAGGCGGCTGCATTGCGCTCGGAGCTTGAGGCTGTGTGTTAATTATGCCAATCGTATCCTGCAATGTAACTTACATGTGCGTTCGCGTCAGCGGCCTTTGACATAAAGGATTCATGCTTTTCTCTAACCACTCCTTCCGTTGTGCGCGAGTCACCATTTCGGTGGAATTCGCTTGGCTGCAGCGTTAGTTGACAAAGATTGAGGGTTCAACTGGAGGTAATAAGGGTGAGTGATTAGCGTAATTAAAATGTAACGTACATCACGCCAGGCAGCGAGTGGAGACTCCTCAAAAAGGCTCCTTCGAGCCAAGCGGGAAATTACCCCTGAGATCTACATTGCTTTAGCAATGAGCTGAGATGTATTGATCACGTGGTGAGGAGGTCATTGATGTCCAAGTTGTGAGCGGCTGGAGTTCCGAAAGTAAGGTGTGAAGGTATACAGTAACTCCTGGCATTTCCTACACCCATCGAGAGCACACCGAAGGTATCCAGGCCCAGTTATTGTAGCTTGATCAAAATGACTTCCAACCCGTAAAGTAGCGCAACCTCAAGTTGCCTACCAAGCCGGCTCAAGCTCACTGGCAATCTTGTCCATCCACACCGTCGCCGCCCGCAATTCTTCGTGATCCATCTGCACCTTGTCCATCACCTGCATCTGAGCCTGAGTTCGCCTACACAAGAAATTCTCGAGAGCCACTAAGGGTATCAAGCCCCGCACACTGAATGTGTTGAGCTTGTATGGTAGGAGAGCAGTCTCCGCGTAGATCTGTCGGCAGGTGAATAGCAGACCGAAGCGCTTCCGGATCGGGTCTTTCCTCAACCTGCGCTCTAGACAAGTCGTTCCGAGATGGGGAGAGACTGTCCCGTGATCGAGTGCGTAGGCGAAGATAACGTTCCTAAGCTCTGGTGGGAGGCGGAGAAGTGGTGACTCGATGATGGCGTGCGGAGCGCCGTTGACGTTGGACTGTTCACTAATTCTCCGTGTCAGTAGAGGAGGCCCACATGCGATATACGGCTTTACTGACGTCTTGGGACTGGATATCGGCCACATCTCTGAATTGGTCATGCTGTACGGATGGGTGATTTTGGAGAAGATGTGCAATGATTTGCTGATGGTCATGGGTAGGACTCGGCGGGGGGAGTGTAAGGCAAGCGACCTAGGTCAGTGCGCAACACGTGACGGCCAAGTAAGGCCGCATCTAGAGCATCGCATCCAGGAACAACTAACACTGTCACGCCTACGTTGACGTTGGGTTACATAATTCGCACATTTAACTCTTGAGGTATGCTTCCGACATGTTAAGGCTTTTCCTTATATTTAGCAAGATAATGTAGATAAGGTGTAACCGCCAACATGACCTTAGGCTTTCGTTAACCGGTGGATCTCTTCAAAGTAGAACTTCAGGTCGTCCGGCTTGACGAACGGTGTGATACCTGCGAGTTATTAGCACTATGCGACATGTCATGTAACCCATGGCTTGACTTACCGTGTCCAAGGTTGGCGATCCATCCCTGCTTGCCGCCACCAAACCCAGCGACCATCTCCTCTACCACCTTCGTGATAGACTCCTTGGTGCCGTACAAAACACCCGGGTCGGCATTACCTTGGAGCACCTTGCCCTTTGCCTGCGCGATCTTGTATGCTTCCGCCGGCGCATGCAGCCAATCGAGGCCGATGGTGTTGTACTTGGTGTCGCAAAGATCCGACAAGGCGTACCATGCGCCTTTCGCGAAGACGGTCATGGGAACGGGCTCGAGGCCCTTTGACTGGAGGCGCCCGGGCAGGTTGTCGGCGATGTAGTTGAGATATGGCAGAGCGAAGGTCTTGAAGGAGGTTGGCGATAGCTCTCCCGCCCAGGAATCGAAGACTTGGATCATCTGCGACAGTCAGCATCGGACCGATGTGTTTTGGCAATGCCACGTACCTGTGCACCAGCCTGAACTTGAAGAGCCAGGTACTCCACGCAAAGCTCGGCAATCTTCTGCAGCAGCGCCTTGCTCTCCTCGGGGTACCTGTAGATCCATGTCTTGGTCTGAATGAACATCTTGCTGCCACCGCCTTCGACCATGTAGCACAGTAGTGTCCAGGGCGCGCCACAGAAGCCAATAAGCGGCACTCTCCCTGCCAACTTTTGCCTAGTCATGGTGATGGCCTTGTAGACATAGTCTAACGATTCGGCAACATCCACCTTCCTCTCAAGAACCTCCTTGTACTGCTTGTCCTCTGGCGTTTGCAGCGGCTCGGGGAAATGCGGACCCTTCTTGTCCACCATTATGACCTCCATTCCCATCGCTTGCGGAATAACGAGGATGTCGGAGAAGATGATGGCGGCATCGATGAGGCCTTCGTAGCGCTCAATGGGCTGGAGGGTGAGGGTGGACGCAATCTCGGGGCTGCGGCAGCATTCGAAGAAGTCGTTCTTGCCTTTCGCCTCGTGATATTCCGGCAGGTAGCGTCCGGCTATACGATGTCAGCATTGATAAGGCTTCTTGACGATGTATGCTTACCTTGGCGCATCACCCATATCGGTGGGCGCTCGACCTTTTCGCCTGTTGAGTGTCAATACGCTGTACGTTGCTGACCGATTGAGGCTATTGACCTCGTGCTGTGCGCAGAATGAGGTCATTCTTCATGGGCTCGAATTGGGGTGCCATTGTTGGTGTAAATGTCGGACGTCAATGACATCGGCGTCGTAACTTTGTTCAAGCTCCGGATACCCCGCGCGTGCAGATTGGGCGCTAACCGCATCGAGACGCGTTCCTGCATCTCCACCACCGCGCTATCTCCACATCTCTCTGACGCCAATTTCATCCGAGGATGCTCTTCAGACATCTCCGATGTTTGACGCGTCATGATCTGGCGTGCCGAAGAGCTTCACACCAGCTCAGCCGAAGGATGTGCAGTACTGCTTCTTTGCCCCCACTCTCAAGCTCGACGCGTCCCATCGCGAAACCACGTGCAACATCATTCGTTGTTCAAGCACGTTTTCCGGTCTCGCAATGTCGTGGCGCGAAAAGGAAGTCTGCTGCGACACTTGACGACCTCCAACAAGGACCTCTGGAGGCCGAGGCACTACCACCCCAAGATGATGCCGAGCCGGAATACCCTCCGCTGTTGCAGCAAGTGCGCAACAACATGCTCAAGTTCAGTCACTGCGTGCTAGTCACACGTGTCGGTGGCTTCTATGAGGCAAGCATGCAGGTCGTGCGACATGTCCCGAGCTAATGCAGGCTGCAGCTGTACTTCGAGCATGCTGACGAATTTGCGCCATTGCTGAACATCAAAAAGTCCAAGAGGAAGGTTTCGAAAGGTAGCAAGAAGCCCGCCGTCTCTATGGTCAGTAGTTCAATTCGGCGACCTGTCATGAAGTTGACACCGTCAGGCAGGCTTCCCCGCATACCAACTGGACCGGTACCTGAAGATTCTCGTTCAAGACCTCAACAAACATGTCGCTATCAGCGACGAGTATCTCAACGATGTTCCGACAAAGGCAAAGGGAGAGCCACAGTATACAAGGAGAGTATCGCGTATCGTGACACCAGGTACACTGATCGATGAGCATTTTATGGACCCATGGGAGAACAACTATCTGCTCAGCATCTATGTCAATCCCGAAGTGCTCATGCAGGAAAAGGCTGTGAAGGAGAGTCCTGGCAGTTCGAGTGTCTCCTCTGTTCTCAACTTACCCCGTACGGAGGTCGGCCTGGCCTGGATTGATCTGTCAAGTGGCGACTTTCTTACTCAGAGTACGGACATCGCATCCTTGCCGTCAGCGGTGGCCCGTATCAAACCGCGAGAAATCGTACTAGACAGTATCTTCCAAGAGCGGGACCATTCGCGAATCGTTTCGATCATGCAAGAAGACGGACATGTCATCACGTTCCAGGAACCCTCAGAAAAGCCGCTCACTATCGACGACTGGATACCGATGTTGGAAGATGTCGTGGAAGACTTTGACACGGCCAACTTCACTCCCGGTGAAGTCGCAGCAGGAGGCTCGTTGTTACACTACGTCAAACATCAACTGCTTGGTTCACGGACACGACTGCGCGCGCCAGTACGACATCAAGCCGAGGAATACATGAGTATTGATAAGAACAGTTTGAGAGCGCTAGAAATCCGGAACACGATTCGCGAGGGTACTTACGAAGGAAGCTTGCTACATGCACTCAAGAAGACGGTCACCAAAAGCGGTACTAGACTGCTCACGGAACGCTTATGTGAGTGCAGTTGACGCGCAACTCAGACTCATCGCTGACACATCCAAGCTGCGCCTTCCATGTCGTTGTCAACTATCAACGATCGACTTGACCTCGTAGAGGAAACCATACAGTACCCGCAGCTCCGTCAAGACATCATCTTGCTCTTGGAGCAAACTTTCGACTCTTTACGATTGGTGACCAAGTTCACATATGGCCGTGGCGACGCGGATGACCTTATGGAGCTATCGAAGACCATCCTTGTCACCTCCAGTATGATAGACGTCCTTCACGAGCACGCAACATCGAGGAACTCTATCCCATTCGATACAGCTCCAGCCACATCGGATACCCGAAGACGACAATGCATTTCTATGTTAGAGCGTCGATTCGATCTAGCGCAACCGCTTGAACTCGCAAACCGCATACAGCAAGCCATCGACGAAGACGGCCTTTCCGAGTACCACCGCATGGAAAACGAAGAAGCGGAAGAGATATCTGACTTGGCACAGGATGTGATCGGTCGAGAGGCTGGGGAAGAGGATCTGAAGAGCTTGCCGAAGCGCGTTCAGCCGAAACTTACCATGATCACCGGGAGCTTCAAGAGTGCGACCGATGGACGGGAAGATGTTCATATCATGAAGCACAATGCTAGTGCGACACTTGAACGCCTGCACAAGAGCTTGGACAAGATGACAGAAGCAAAGGCCAACCTGGAAAGAGAGATGCGTCAAAAGATGAGTACAGAAAGCTTGGTGTTGAAGTGGACTCCGAACCTCGCGCACATTGCCCACGTCAAGGGCAAGGACGCAGCTCGCGCTACTGCCTTTTATCCAAGAAGCTTGAGTAGCAGCAAGTCTACCCGCTCGTTTCAAATCCCGGAGTGGACTTCGCTGGGCGCGCAAATGGACGAGACACGATTCCGGATCCGATCAGAGGAACAACGTGTTCTCGGCGAGCTGCGCGAAGGTGTCGTCCAGAACCTTGTGAAACTTAGACGTAACGCCGCGGTGCTCGATGAGCTTGATGTCGCATGCGCATTTGCTACACTGGCTATGGAGAAAGATCTAATCAGGCCCATACTGAGTGCAGAGCCATCGCATAACATCGTCGGTGGTCGGCATCCTGTCGTCGAAGCTGGCCTCAGCGAACAAGGCCGCAGGTTCGCCCCTAACGACTGCCAACTCGGCGACAATGAGCGCATCTGGCTCATCACCGGTCCAAACATGGCGGGAAAGAGTACATACCTGCGCCAAAACGCACTCATCTCCATCCTAGCGCAGACCGGATCTTTTGTCCCAGCGGAGTACGCAGAGATCGGGCTAGTTGACAAGATCTTTAGTCGCGTCGGCTCAGCAGACAACTTGTACCAAGATCAATCCACCTTCATGGTTGAGATGTTGGAGACGGCTCAAATACTCAAAGAGGCTACGCCGCGCTCTTTCGTCATTATGGATGAAGTTGGGCGTGGGACGACACCCGAGGATGGTATCGCGGTCGGGTACGCCTGCCTCCATCACCTCTATCACGTGAATCAATGCCGGACGCTTTTTGCAACGCATTTCCACGCGCTCGCTGATATGACAAAGGACTTTGCGAAGCTGGGTTGCTATTGCAACGATGTCCTTGAAGAACCAGACGGCAAGTTCTCGTACGTGCATCGGTTGAGGCAGGGTGTGAATCGCGAGAGCCATGCGCTGAAGGTCGCAAGAGTTGCTGGTAAGTCGTGCGCTTCCGAAGTGCGGTTTTGGCGATAGTTGCTTACAGTATACAGGTCTTCCTGAAGATGCCGTCGTGATAGCAGCGAGGGTACTAAAAGAACTCAAAGGCCGGACGAGCGATGCTGGGGTAGCTTCCACAGCAGCCTAGCGACGACATTAGCTCAAGATGTAGAAAGATAAAACATGACTGGGGGCTCGGGAGCTCACATTGCATGATACCAATCATCGCCATTAGCACTCCTTGTCTTGTAGTCACCAAACGAACATGACATTCGACGTCCTCTCCTGGTGCAGTAAGCGTATGCTCCTGACAGACGTACCTATCTTGTGTCGCAAAGTACGAACGTGACGTCATCGACAGGAATAGCAATACCCGGCAAGACAACTATCGATTTGGTGTTACTATGCGCATGCAGACCTGGATAGGGTCTAAACCGTGTTGTCTGTCACGGATTCGTGACACCTCGCTTGCATTGATGACGCAAGGCTAGGAGGCCTGGAATTCAGCGTTGAGGGCCCGTTCCTCTGTAGAATTACTACTAATTCTAAACGTGGGTATGTTGGACCATCTTAGGTCCCACGTTTCGAGGATGAACGCTGATGCTGCCCAGATGTAGGGAAACGCCGTCAGATGTAACGATAGCGCGGTAGCCGTTCTTGGTGCGGTACCAGCTAGTGTAATTATTCAGAGTCGTTCGCGAAAGGATCGGAGTAGGGTAGATGTGCATCGTGATGTTGGGTATGCTCGTCGTTGGAAGGAGATGGCGACGTCGAGGAAGAGGACCAACAGACGCGTTGGATATGAACGCGTCGATGTCCTGTGGACGAAACAAATTCCGCGCTGTCTCCGCGTGGGTTTGGCGACACACATGCTGTAAAGGAGGTCGATTGGATGCAATGCATACTTAGGTAGCCTGACCAATGCGCGCCTGGTACAGCAACCGGACGACACAAGTCTACCTGGTCCTGCGCAGACATGTATGCACTCGCACATGACCCAGAAAAGCCCGACTTGCACGCGTCGACAACGCTATGAGATGTAACAGCACTATCTCGTGACGCCGTGCGATATGCGCGGAATCGCTCAATCGAGCTCTTACAGAGGGGTTGGTGCGACACGAGCACTCTACTTGCGGGAGTGATCGACTTTATATCGAGTCGGTGTCACATGAGAAGATGTGGGAGGACGTTGTCGTGCAGGATCAAGACACGCGCAGATGCAAGCTAGTATGCGAGGGTCTCAAATAGCTGATGAGCGCAGGATGTCTGGTGGTCGATGGGATGTAGTGACTGCGGGAGCAGCGGTTCGCCCTTTTTACCCCACACTTACCCGTCTGCACGCGTTAGGAAGGTGTCAGGAACGTTATTTCCTTTGTTCGCAACAATCGCATTGTATCTGCCCTTACCCATCTGATCATACCTCCACCAATCCACACTTTTCCTTTTTAACAGAAAAAGTGAACATCGCAATCGCGACAATCATGGGTGGCGCGCCCGTTACCCCACCATCGTCATCGTCGGCACAGGCTCCACCACTGCAGCCTCAGATCATAACATCGGATATCACACTCCAGGCGCCGCTTTCGAGGCGAGGGAAGGGGCCGGGGTTGGTTCTCGTGTTGAACCATTATGCGGCGAGGGAAGCGAAGGAGGGGTGTTTGGATCCGCCGCCGCTGAAGAAGTGGGCGGAGGAGGGGTTCGCGGTTGTGCAGGTATGTTGCTATGTCTTGGTGAAGTGGGCATGAGGATGGACGTATGGAACATGTCGCGTGATGAATGGCAGGAAAGGCGGTAGCTTGATCGAAATACTGACTGTCTCACAGCTGCTGGTACCTGGCAAAGTCGATGGCGAATTTCCTCTCCAGAAGGCCTTGGACGTATTGAGAGATTGTGAGCAATGCGAGTTCGGCAACGGTGTTGGACTGATATGTGCGTCGACTCTCACTCGCATCGTGTACAGTCACCCTGGCCGCATACTAACAATCGTCACCAGCATATCTATCAAGGATTCCCTACTATCTCGAAGAAGCTGCCTGTCAGAACCCCGCGATCAAGGCCCTTATCTCTTACGGCGGCAAAAGCCTTTCCACACTGAGCTCGACAGCACTGCCACCTCAACTAATACACGTCGCGGGGCTGCCAGACCCTCATCGCCCCGAATCATGTTCATTGGTCCCAGAATCATCCTCGGAGAAAGCATTGCCACTTCCGGAGAACATTATCAAGACATACCGGTACGAGGATGCGACAAAAGACTCTGAATGGGTGCTTCCAAGCGACGAGCACTACCACAAGCGCAGCGCGGGCATTGCGCATACGAGGAGTCTGACTTTCTTGAAGCCGCTGCTTGGCGGCCCTTTCTTCGACCTGGAGGCCGTGTGGGAAGAGCATACCAAGTTCGAGTTCGGCGAGAGGGATGTGGAGAAGACGATGGCTACGATGGTGGATCAGCCATATGTCAACCACATTCCGACTATGACGTACGTATCTCCCCACCATCCTCCAACATCCGTATTGCATGTGACCATGGCATACTGACCATCCACCAGCGGAGGCGTAGGTCAAGAGCGACTCACAGCATTCTACACGCACCACTTCGTCTTCAGCAATCCGCCCGACACCGCCCTCGCCCTCGTCTCCCGAACCGTAGGCATCGACCGTGTGATCGACGAGTTCGTATTCACCCTTACCCACAACAAAGAAGTTCCCTGGCTACTCCCTGGAATCCCTCCCACCGGAAAGCCTCTAGCCATTCCGTTCACCAGTGTCGTTGCTATGCGCGGTGATCGACTGTGTCATGAACACATCAGCTGGGACCATGCGACGGCGCTGAAACAATTGGGGTTGCTTCCGGAGTACGTGCCTTTTCCGTACAAGATCGAGGGCGCAGCGCCGCCGGAAGGGAAGAGATTCGAAGTCAGACTGCCAGTCGTGGATATGGAGGGGAGTAGGAAGTTGGTGGATGAGAGTTGTGAAGAGAGTAATGCGTTGATGAGTGGACGGTGGCGGATGGTTGACGATGTATGATGGCAGCAAGGCTGTACGGACGACGCGTAATTCTTGAGGGACATATCGGAGGTACGTATATATAATAATACGACCACCTAAGGTTTCGCGAATACATGAACTCACACGCCTTCCTCATACCAGCTCCTTATGTCCTTGACGAGCATCTCAACCGCTGCTGGCGCAATATGCTGTGAAGATCCTCTGTCTTCGGGAAGACATCCCTCATTCTGTCCTGAGGATGACTTGTCGGAGGCAGAGCCGGAGACGTTTCTTGTCCATCTCGATGAGCCTGACGAACTTTCCCACATCCGTACATACCAGGGTGTTGTGTCGAAGCGCGGAATTCGTCGCTTCGTCAGCGAAGTCGCGATGCACTTCGTTAATGCGATTGATGGACACTCGTGGATGACCATCAGTGATGTACGCGGCGAAGAGCAGCATGTCTTTTGCAAGTACGTCTTTGAAGCGCCAACAAGCGAGGCGGATCTTGATCGTAGTCGTATCGGCTTCGATGCTGTGCAATGGCAGGCAGACGACATTAGAGTCAGCCCGTATCCAGATCGATGGGCGAGGCAAGAATGCCACATACGTGGACTGTGTTGCTCAACTATAGGTCGTACGTGGGGCTATTGTTGTTACCTGATCACTGTGAGGAGAGCTACCTCGCTAGGTAATCCCTAGGTGCTAAGCCGCGAGGCTTAGCCTAAGCTTCCTTAGGCTAAGAATATGTTACATACTCTTATTTTACAACCTTTTTAATACTAGTAGAGGGCTATACTAGACTTAGACACCTATTTAAAGATACCCTACAGCTTATATATTTATCTTAATGCTCAACTATGTAAAAAACAAACATTATTTTAGAGACTACAAGCTTGTATCGATAATCCTACAGGGGGCTGATAAGTGGCTGTATGCTGCAACGCTCTATATTTGTCTTACGTATGCGTCGTGAAACTTCGCTTTCTTCCTCAAGCAACACTAGTAAACGGTGAAGACTCAATGAAAAAGGTATCTTCTCATATGACACAGTAATGAGGGTCTGGGCTGGGGAGGGACCTCGGGCGAACATGTACCCGCGAGGTCTGGACACCCAGCAGAACAAAGCAAAAGAATCTGCTCGATCCTGCCCACCTGACCGACGGGTAAGACGTGATGCGCCGGGGCATATTGTCGAACTGCCATCCACACAACGAGTCCAGCTCATCGAGTTTTCAGTACACACCCGCAGGCTTCCCGAATCAGGGTGCTCAGTCTCATCGACGGTGCATTATCGTCGGACCAGCCGCTCTCATAACGTCGTCGGCTAGGGTCCTGCACGCTCGATATACGTGCATTCTCCTGCTCATGCGAAGTGTAAGTGAAGTGGAGCCGGCCACTTGACTTTCCCGCACACTGCACCACCGCACGCTGGACGCGGTCGGGTGCCACCAGGGCGAGCCACGATGCTGGGGTTCAGCCGACCTAACTCACTCCCTGGTGTCGATGATGTCTGAAAAGATGGAGAGGCGATCGGGAAAGTCGCAAGCGCAGTGCCTGATGTGTTAATACTAACTGTGGGAGGAATAAAGACTTACCGCGATCTCGGTTCCGATGGAGGACAATAGAAGATTGATAGCGAAGACGCGCGTGTTGAGCGTGGGGCGTTGTCGAGTATTCTAAGGTTGCCCTGGCGCGGTCTGGTGCTGGAGGAAGATCGAGAGAGAAAGACAAGGCAGTAGATAGGCGCACGGAGCTTGGACCATACGCCAAGGCGATCCAGGCAGAAACCGGCTATACCAACAGTGATGGTGAAGGTGAAGGTGATTAAGTAAGCGCGGCAGCTGCGTAAATCACGCGGAAGTGGTGTTACGTAAGTACATTTATTTGCGTGCGAACGCAAAGCCGGAACGCGACTTCCAGGGTCGGTCGACTATAATGCTGATCGCGAGCGCAAAACGCTGATGGCAGCATACAGTGCTGGTGGTGTACCGTGTGACGTTGTTGAAGTCGCGCAGAATTGCAGCGATCGGCCGGGTGTCGGCCCGGGCACGGAGCGCCGATGCCGCGCGCCAGTCCTCGATACACGCGCATCAAAGTTCACAACGCTCTATTCTTTATTTTAAGCAAAGCTAGAGCTAAGGTTATTAATTAAATCTACTTATAAGCCTTTAATAGTTTTTTCTTACTTATAAGCTTTTTTATAGAATTTAATATACTAAATAAATAAAATTATCTTTTTATTTTACTTTTATACTTATAATACTTTTTAAGTATTTTTTAGTATAAATAATAGTACTTATAAATAGTATATAACTAAGTTTATATAAAAAAGTTATATAAAATAATTAAAAGTAAAGTTAGTAGTATAAAAGTATTTTATTTAAGTTTTATTAAATTACTTAAAATTAAGTTTTTAGCTTATATAGTAGTACTAGTAAATAATATTATTATAGTAAATATATTAAAGCTTAGCTTTAGCTTATATAATTTATACTATTATATAGTAGTTATAAAGTAAGTTTTACTTAAGTTAGTTTAAGTTTATATAAAAAAGCTAATTTTAATATACTATAGTAGCTATATTTATAGTAGTTTATATAAGTAAAAATATTTAAGTAAAAGTTTTAGCTACTTATACTTTACTTAAGCTAAGTAGTAGTAGTAATATAACTTATAGTTACTTTTAGTAGTATACTAGTTTTTAGTAAAAAGAGTTAATAATAATCTTAGTAAATATATTAAATCGCTGTTACAATACTATATGCACTCTTACGCTAGGAGCGGATAGCTACTATATTTCCGTTCCTGAATCGATAAGAGCTCCATCAATGCGATTGGCCCGCGTGGCTTGCGAGCGTCAAAGCCCACCTGCCCAGGTGGGCAGATTCGAGCTGACAGTCGGGACCGCAGCCCATGGTCACCGCATTCCCGTTGTCTGATGACTTTGAATGTGGTCAGCTATGAGCCTGTGGTCTTTAGACAGCCCGAGAATAATATATCCGCCTCTAAACTACTGGAATGCCCGATGTCCAGTCGTCTACTGCATACATGCGCATCGACTTCAACATAGTAAAACGTAGACCAGGTAATGTATACTGCTACCCACAAAGCGCAGCATCGCCTCCACGATGTTGCTCCATTGTGAGTGTCTTAGGACACGAATCTCACATTCCCGGGTGACCGCACAGCGTCATGACGACATCATGGATGTCCCAACTCATCACCCGCGTCATGTCTAGACGATAGCCTCGCGTACCAAACCCACGATCATCGATACCGCAGAGATATCATCGATACAAGGCTCAAACAGCTTCCAATCACACCTCGACGCGAGTATGCCTTCCGCTGGGCTCACCATTCGCGACGTCACGCCCACCATCACCACCTTCTCCACGCCGTTCAACCGCTTCGCGCTCTTAGGCTACCGCAAATTTGTCGCAGTGGGCAATCGCGCAACAGCCGTCCGATTGCACGACAACCGAGTCCTTCTCCTCAACCCCATCCAGCTCGAACAAGCGGTGCGCGACAAGCTGGATAAGCTTGGAGGCGTTGATCTCGTGGCGTGTGATCTTGGGCATCACATGTATGTGAGAGACTATATCGATGCTTGGCCAGAAGCAAAGACAATCGGCGTTCCGGGTCTGGAAAGCAAGAGAAAAGACGTGGAATGGGACTACATCTACGAGGACTGGCGGACAAGTCCGGAAGACCAGTTCGACTTCGCGCAGGACATCGAGACCGTACTGTTCGAGGGGTTCATCACATACTGTGTCGCTTGGTATCACAAGCCGACGATGACACTGATACAGTCTGATCTGATGATGAACCTACCATGCACCGAGGTATGTCGCGAAATCACCGGACGCGTACGCGACATCGGACGCTGACGTTCGGTCAGCAATATTATCCTAGCTCGTCGCACCAAGGTCCTTTCTCGCGCGAATTCGCGAAGCGCGCACATCCGCGATCGATATGGGCGAAACGCCTCGTTTACCACATTGCGACCGTTGACTACACTTTGATGCGACGCGATGCGAAGAGAGTAGCGGAATGGCAGATCGAGCGAATTATACCCTGTCATGGAGATGTCCTCGATACTGGTGGGAATAAAGCGTGGGCAATGGTGTACGATTGGTTTTTGACTGGCGAACCCACGCCAGGCCTGATGAAGAGACTGATGAGCCCCGTTATGAGGGTCGCCAGAAGAGTGTTTCTGATGTAAAGCCCAGACATGTGCGCTCCGTTTCTTGGTATTTGATCTTATTAACTCAAATACCAACGCCGCGGCAATGAAGTGTCCATTATCTGCTGCCTGCGTTTGTGTCGCACCAACATCACCCTCCACCGAACACATGTCGCCGGTCGCGACGTTCTCATATCGTTGTGATGCCTTTGGATCAGGCAAATGCATGCATTTGAAAGCCAATGAATTGACAGCTAAGCAGATATAGCATACTGGAGCCATTGAGTCAGCTTCGTTCATCGGGTCACGTTGACATGTCCGATTGGGGGCGATGAGTAAGAAACCGCATGGTGAAAGCCGATTTTTGTTGCACAAAGTGAAGAAAGGGGTAGTACAACAATGCTGGCCCCGTGAGGCTTTTCACCCGCGGCCAACAGAGGCCAGCCCTAGCAGTGCTGTGGTATATCAATCTTCCGACTTGGGCCTCGAGAGAACGCGGCCACTTCTCTACACACCCTCGAGAACAACTTCAACCAAGATTCCATCACTCCGGCATGGCACAATTACAAGCAATGTGCGTTTCCCATCCCCACAAACAATTCTAATTAGCTAACGAGTATGCAGTACCGAACGCAACCGCACTATGTCACCCTTACTTAAACTCCCCGGAGAGATACGCAACAGGATCTACGACTTTACTCTGGGTGGAAATGTATGGCATATCGATACGCGTCGTAAATTGACCTGCAAAACTCCGAAAGCCGAGCGCAACGATCACCGAGCTCTGCTTCGTGTCTGTCGACAAATGTATAACGAAGCCCGCCTCTTACCATGGTCACTCAGTGACTTCAGATGTGAGACAAAAGATGATCTTCGCAATTGGCTCACCAACTTTCCGAGGGAATGTCGCTGGGCCATCACGACTATCACCCTGTTTGCCTCTTCTGCCGATCGTCCAAATCCTTCGCACCCACGCCCAACGATGTCACTGCTTTTACCAAGAGGGATGATCGGCTTCCAAGACTTTCCTGGTCTTAGGAAACTCGATAGACATTTCGGAGTCTGTCCTGAAAGGGACTACCGTTGTTATACGCAGCTAGGCGATGGGACCAAAAGCCAATCTACCGAGGAGAAGGTACGAGTGGTAATCGCTCAGCCGTATACACCAGAAGAAGAACGTCAGCGGCAAGGTTTTTCGTTCACAGCCTTTACATAGCTGTAGAATAGCGTGCGGTATCCAGGGTATTGTATCATACCCTTTTTCCCAGACCCACAAGTTCATGTACACTGCGGGCACACCTCAACATCACAGTCAAATCGAGACGAGTATAGGCTTTGTAATGTATTTTGATTACTTTTTTCAACATTCAGATCATGAACGCCTACGCAATAGGCGCGTAGAAGCTGAACTTCCCCTTGGGGTCATACTTCTTCTTGAGCGCTTTCAGCTTCTTCTGCCTCCAGCTCTCATGACCATACCAAGCCTCTGGCCCCTCATCACCATACGCATAGTTTACATAGGTGTGTAGCTCACTAGACCCTGTGCCTTCGCGAATTATCTCACGAAGCTGCGTGCCGAGCTTCTTGACGGCGTCGTCTTGTGCCTTCCCAGTGGAGTTGTATATGATCAGAGGTGCAGCGAGGGTGTGCGCGTCGCGGAAGCCAAATGCACTAGCCTTGTTGCTACGGTCTCGTACAGCGCCACTGGCGTAGTCTTCAAACATGAAGATGGAATTGTAGTATGGGTTGTCGGCTCCGGCGACGGCGGAGGAGTAGAGATCCCAGGCGTTGCGTTGCGCGGTGACGTTGTAAGAGTTGATGTAGATCGGGAAACGGGGGTTGTTGAATCCGAAGTCCTGGCATGGAGGTGATTCGAGCGCGATGCCTGTCCATTTTGCGAGATCCTTGTAGGTGCCGGACTGGGGTGTAGCGGCGAGAGGACCGATGTCGTGGAATGGTGCGGTGTACTTGGCATCGACAGCGGTTACCCCCTCTTGCACGATGTAAATGATGATGACCGGCTGAATATATGTTAGCGACTTTAGTTCATTTGAGGACCGTCGCATATCTTACCCCCTCGGTATCGTATCTTGCATCGTTTTGCCAGTACGTCCAGTCATGAATATCCGCGGACTGCTTCCCGCCTTGAAGAATATACTTGTTTGCCGCCTCGTAGACCAGCTCGACTTTGTCACCACTGAAGACGATCGTCTCGATCGCCCAGTCGTAGTGCTCGATGTCGTAGACTTTTGTGGTAACGGATGTAACGACACCGAAGTTGTGGCCAGCCCCTTGCATACCCCACCACAGGTCTGACTTGCTGTCGATAGTCTTCGAGTCTCCGTTTGCGAGCACGATATTCATGGAAAGGAACTGGTCGGTGATCAGACCGTAGTGGCCTTGGAACCATCCGTGACCGCCACCGAGGGCCGGTCCCAAGTAGCTGACGCATTCGCAGCAGCCGGTGACTAAGTGGTGTTAAAGCAGGCCAAGTCTATTGTGAAGTTGGGAAGCTTACCAGTCTGCTTCCCGGCAGCCCACAAAGTATCTGTGAGGTTCTTCACGTTGGCTCCACCACCGATAGTTGCCGACTTTCCGTCTTTCGCAATTGAGATTGAGTTCAACTGCGGCAGATAGATCTCGATACCATAGTCCATCTTGCCCAGGGTCGTAAGTGTCCCATGATGACCATTGTAGGTGAGGAACGGTATGTTGTGATCATGTGCAAACTTGACCTGTCGTGAACGTGTTAGCTGCTGGCCCTTGCCTCCACTGTAAAAGCTGTGAAAGTGATCTGCCGCCTACGTATGAACTTACAATCTTCTGGACATCGTTCTCCGTACCCGGGGCAATCACAACGCTCGGTGTAGGAGCATGTAGATTGGACCATCGGGTCGTGTAGATAGCAAACTCCTTCGTATCGGGGAGGTAAATCTTCGCGGTGGCAGAGAGATACGGTGCTAATGACTTCACGTCGATACCTGCTGCGGGGGTCCTAGAGAAGAGGTCAAATGGCGAAGTAGGGGTTGCCGAGACAGTCGGAACGACACAGCTAAAGAAAGAACTTGCGACAGCCAATGGTGCCAGAACTCCTGCAAACATGATGCCGGTGGGGAGATGTCAAGCAGGATGCGAGACACGGCCGTGAGTTACCAACATCCTGGCATGTGGCTTCAAAGCATCTCAAATACGAGAAGGCATCTGAGCTGTCGGCTAAAAGCATCATGCTCCATGAGGAAGACCTCCGGGCCGCCCTGCAGCGTGCTTGTCGTCAGGGTCTAGATGGCGCAAAGGCGGGATAGGCTGCATCGCAGGATTCAGCTCGGTCACACAATCGGCGCGAATCTGATCCTACGATGATCTTATCTTCGCCGCGATTTGCGCGCTTGCACATTCTCGAGGTTTGTGGGTCGTAGGCATCACCGCGATTGGCTCGGGGATCGGACGAGATGCCGCACCGTTGCCCTGGCCCGCCCAGGCGCCAACAGCCGCTTCCTATACGCTAGTCGAGGTGCGCTTTCACCCACTTCTTTCCTTGCTGGAAGGCTTGCACCCTCGTACTTCACAGACTCAACGAGGGCATGCATGCCAATTCCCGTCTTGCCAACAACATTGTCGAATGCCGAATGCGCAATGCGGCCTTCGTTGCGCACCTTTTGCCCAGGCGATACCACGAACGTGGCCATCGAAGACACTGATCTCCTCGGCTATGAGAACATGCGGTTGTAATATAGCAAGTCAAAAAAGAAGATATTGCACGTATTCAGCGTGATTCTGATCTATGGCCGGCAAGCCAAGAACTGCGCCGCTTTGTGCCTTCCTCTCTCTGCAAAGTATCGGATGGCGCACTCAGAGTGGGTGCCAATGTGATTTCGGGCCGATGTGATGTGATTACACGGGGTATCTGTTCGCTGACATTCTATCTAGTTAGTCTACGCCATGAAAGTCTCGGATACAGATTCAGTTCCATCCGCTCTGTTCCAGGTTGGTGGTTATACCGACCGACCCAGAGTTCAAGAGTGATGGACCAGACTTGATCGATCATCCAACACCATCGTTGCAAAGTACACCATGAGCATCGTGGAGCTGTGGACCCTCTATGCACTCGCTGTCTCCTTCACGTGTCTGCGAACATACGCCAGGATTACCGCCGTGGGCCTCCGCGAGCTACAAGTAGATGACTACCTAGTATGGATTGCTATCGTGAGTAGCAAAGAATGCTTCATAGATTCCATACTGCTAATAATCCGTTTGTTAGCTCATCTACACCGCCCAATGCAGCCTCGGGTACAGTCCGGGAGTGCACGTACATGGCCTCGCAAATGACGGCATGACGCCGAATGAGCGTGCTGCCCTGTCGCAAGACGACCCCGAGTTTAGATTGAGGTATACAAAGAGCCAGAACCTGGCGCAAGAAACGACATAGTGAGCCCCGGCGCACACGTAGCTAACGGGGCTTCAGAGTCATCGGATCGAAAATTCAAGTAGCTGGCTGGACCACCGCTGCATGCCTGCTTTGGTCTCTCAAGCTATGCGTAGCAGCCTTCTATCTTCGTCTCACGGTGTGTATATCCATCGCAGTAGGCCGGGAAGCTTTGACTGACACGAATCACAGGCTGGTCTTGGGATGTACACGACCCGCATTCACATCGCTTTCGCGTCCATCATCACCAGTTTTGTGATCATCATACTCACCATATACCTCTCCTGTCGACCATTCTGGCGCTACTGGCAGATCAATCCCGATCCCGGAAATGCGTGTCAAGCAGCGATATCGAAGCGTCTGATCTGGGTCACATTTGTCTTTAACGTATCCACCGACGTTTATCTGCTACTAATACCAATTCCTATGTTATGGAAGTCGAGATTGAGGACGTACAAGAAGATTGCCGCCATGCTCGTACTTGGCGCTGGCATGCTCGTTATTGTGTGTGCGATATTGAAGAGCATCTATCTTATCACGGCAAGTTACAGTGGCACAATCGCTATGGAATTGGCTTCGAGACTAACCGATCTTTAGGACCCTTTGAACAGTGCTGAGCTCACCGCCTCTTGGGGTACTCGCGAGACCTTCATCGCCATATTTACGACGAACCTTCCTATGATCTTCCCATTGCTCAAAAACTGGCTCACGCCTTTCCTACCCAGTACGATCGGCTCCAGCAACGCAAAAGGGCAAGAGCCTCCAGGCAGTGACTTTGAAACCATTGGGGGCGGATCCGGGCCCGGTGGAAACCGGGCGAGCCGGAGGGTACCGCACCGGGCGCGCCACGATTTCGGGGGCCTGACGCTCGACAATGAAAGTGAAGAAGACATGATCAAAGGAGACGATGTGGCTATGCATCGCATGCAGCGCAACGATCTTGAAGCAGATGGGAAGAACACGATCGTCGTGTGCAGCGAGGTCAGCGTGCCGTCCGAAGATCATAGCGGTGTCCAGAGAAAGGCATCTTTCCAAATCATGTAGTGAGTTATCTTCACGCTCCAGCGCAGACGCAACTATACGCGGCTACAACCCCATCTGACTCAATCTCTCTATCCGTGGCGTTCGTGGTGTAACTTGAATTAGATCCCGCCGCATTGACAGTACGCGACTGCTCCTAGGCCTCACACGAAGACTGCGCGCAAGGGTCGGTGAGTACGCTGTCGGCGGCTAAGTGTGATATTGCGGCACGATACAGGAGACGAGAGAGCCATGTCGGATGTAATTCCAGGCCAACTCCTAAGCTTGAGTTCCAGAGAGTCCGTTGTAGGAGTCTGTCATCTGATTAATGGAGGTGATCCATCCCCTTCGGTCTGCAATAGTACAGGAAGCGGCTCCATGGTAGGCTCAGAGACACTTGCGGCCGGCGCGAAGTATTGCGCTACGACACTGCTCTCTCTCCTTGATTCTTGTTCTTCGTCGCGTGTTAACTGTATCAAGTCTCACTTCCGTTTCCTCAGACCCATTGTTTCCTCAGCCGTTCCGAACCCAAACCTCCCCTCGAATCCCGGTACGTCTGCGCCAACCAGCTCGCCGTACCGTACCTTGAGACTCCTTAGCTCCACCGGCAGCTTGTCCAGCTTCGTCAAATCGTGTCGCAAGACAAGCCGTTCCATCTCCGTGTTACCCCTCGTGGCCGTCATAATCTGCAAGAAGCCGCCATCCGCCGCGGGTGTGCCGTTCCGCGACAGTGAGTATATTGCTATACCAGCGAAGATACTGGCAGCAACGAAGCAGATGCTGTACGGAAGAATGAGGTTGAGCGGACTGGCGAAAGAGTACGTGCTCTGATAGCGGGTGAAGGTTACGGGAATTGTTTCCTGCCATAATCCTAGAGAAATAGCGGAAAGAGTGATATTTGTGAGTGCATTGTTGAGAAGCTCCTCTGTGATTTCCAGGTCCTCTCTTGCGTCGTAGCAGGAACCCAGTGACTTTGGGTCAAACCGAGAGGTCTGGAAGATTGTTCCTTGGAGTGGCGTATCGAAAGGAGGAGAACTTAGCTCGCAGGACTTGTAGGAAAGGTCCCAATCTCCACATTCCTCGATTGCAGTCTTGTTGTCTTGAGCGATAAGCTGACAGTCAGGTGGGTAATGGCGTGCCCATACTATAGTATTTACGCCTTCGAGAAAGCTACCGAGCGCATCCAATATTGCCCATTCGTTGAATGCTGGAAGCGCACCAAGCACTTTCTGGTTCCAATCTTGAGCTGCCTGCGGATCGGCGGGAAGCGTCAGACGTATCACAGATGACCTTCTGGGAGATTGCCAATTCTTTCGCATGTCTGTCTCGTCGCTTAAGTGGTACTCGAGATTCTGAACACCGCGTGGAAATGTCACATTAACATCGTACAAAACAGATTCTGGAACGCAAGCCTGCTCGGTCGTCTCGACGTGAGCTTTGAAAACCGTGGTGTTTGGATCGCTATGCAAGATTGAATAACCGCTGATGTTGTGCTGTTGGACCGAGAGGGATAGCGAGTCGGTCAGCCACTTTGAAATAAAAACATCGCCGGACAGCGGCGGCGGATACCGAGGGTCTGTTTGGCTCTGGTCGTCTTGCCTGAGTGGGATGTAATTGTTGTACCGTGAAACATTGCATCGCAACTGCGGGCCCCGAAACTGAAGCTTGTACGTCGAATTCTCACCTGGGTATCCAGGCAACTGAAAAACGTGATTGTCAATCACGATGGATTGCGCGATGCTGCGCAGAGCTGGATTTGGTCCGCTATACCAGTTAGTGCTGACGGATGCGTTGTAAATTCGCCAGCTTACTAGTATTCAAACGTTCTTGCACGAGGCAAGAGTTCTACAGTCTTGTTGTTCTCATCAGGCATGAAGACACCCCGCTCGAAGCCAAATCCGCCGAAAGTCAATGTTGGAAAGCTGTCATTTCCAGCAAAGTCTAGGTCGCGAGGAATCGGCGGATTCATCACAGCCATTTCGAGCTCCTTGGTAGACGTATGGGGTTCAATTGCAACGATCAGCGCTCCTGGAGGATAAATTGTCGCCAGTCCCAGACACCATACGGAAAGCGCCATCGCGATCAATGTGGGTGATCTCCAGGTGCTTCGCAAGTCGCACAGTGCGAATATGTTGGTGCGAAGTACAAACATTTTCTCAATCGTATCGATTGGCAATGGGTTCCCGCGAAGAACGAGCCACAAATGCTGCGCAAAGGAGGTTCCAATGCTTGCCGTCAAGGCGGACTTGAAGATTGTTGTCAGAAGGATCGAGACCGCAGAGACCTGCGGCTGTGTAAGATAGCTCGTCTCAGTGAGCTGGTGATCCAGATTATGAAACAGGAAGTAATGCCCCAAAGCGGACAAAAGCGCTACACCAGTTTAACTCTGTTCAATCTTGTGCATGCGACTACGTACCCCCGAAATTGAAGCCTATGATCATCCCTGTTGTTTTCCAGTGCGTTGTGCGTCGAAAGGGATCAAAGCGCCGGTTGTTTTCCTGTCCTAAGCTGGCCGGGTTCGATGACGTTGACACCGAGGAGAGAGAAGGTTGCATTTCGCTCTCGTCGTCGGGATTTCCCACATTTTCAGGCAGATCTTGCTCTTGTGCATCAAGATCGTCATGCGGTTGAACTGAAGAGTCTGGCGTCGGTGCCTGATGCAAAGGGCTGATGTCGCCGTGTTCAGAGGTCGAGTTGGCTCTTGATATCGTTCGCAGACTAATCTCGTCGGAGATAGGTGCCATGGTAGCAAGTTAGACGCAGAGCGAGATCGAAGCTTATCGAAAGGTAAAGTTCGAAAGCGGTGTCTTTATCTCGAACAAAACATCAACTTCAGGTGCTGCAAGAAGCCGCAAGGCTGAGGTTGCAATGAAGGGTCGGAATGACGCGTACGTGAGGCGCGGAGACCGGTCACCCTCAACACTCCAATCAGCCCGATAGACTGTTATCGAATATAAAGTGTAGTGTCAGACTACGCCTCGCTGACCTTAACATGGGGGCGAAGATCGGCAAACGTCCCATCGGCGCGGATATCACTGAAATATATTATGTGGGGGCGTTTCACTGCGTCGGCTCCAGGAATATGTAGGCGGTACTACCTTCGCAGCGACGCATTGCTCGCATTGATGCGCAGCGTCGTCTGACCTGTTGTCGAGTTGTTGCCACGATCGCCAAAGTTGTTGTGAGCGCCGGACATTGCCGCCCGCGGCTCGGTACTCGCACAACCTCGAAGATCCCGTAAGCCGCGCCGTTAACCTGCGCACCTGCCACCCTGCATCTGGTAGCCACCGCAGCATTGCTGGGGACAATATCGGACGCTGCACCTGCGAAACTACTACAAGATGCGACTGCGACTCAAAGCTTCGTTCCTCACATTCGCCTGCGGCGCTTTCAGTCAGCCTTGTACGTTCAATGCGCGGGGAGATTGCCTATAAGCCGCGACAATCCTCATGGGATAGAGGCCCATGCCGCGTTCGAAAGAGACCTCGGAAGGCTCGCGCGAACGCATCGGTACCGACACCCTTATCTGGAACGAATCAAAGGTATAGCGACACATATTTCATCAAAATAGCGAATGCATGAACAGTATACGGCGTGGAACCATGCGCCCATGGGACACCGCCGCGTGAGGCCTACCCCTTTTTTCGATCTTGGCCTTTTCACTCCTGTTAGCGACGCTTCGTTCAAAAAGCTACATGCCGCCGATAACGACAGTAAGCATTTTCCCTGGATCCATTCCCGCCGCATGCGACACTCAGCAAGTACACTACCAATTGGCCCTTCGGCAGAAATAGCCCCCGAGCCACCACCACGCCCGAGAATGATGCTGTATCTACTGTCGCAGTCTGTCATCTAATGGAAACGAGCCATCCCCTTCGGTCCACAGTATTACGGGAAGCGACTCCATGGTGGGCTCTATGATACCAAAGAATCCTTCGAAGAAAACTTTGGTGCCGGGAGATGTACCCCGGTCTTCGCCCAGGGTAGTAGTGGCCGCTTGATCGTCGTCCGCCCCGTGGTCGCTCGCGTCCCCATTTATATAGGCTTTTGCCATGAGTATGTCCTCCTTGTGAGTGAGAAAGTACCCTGATAGTTGCTGGACGACGTCTGCAACTGTGACAGTACCGCCATCTTCTCTGGTGACAACCAAGGGTTCTGGTCGCTGATAGCGACGGTTTTCCTCAAACCCAGGCTCGTCGAACTCGTCATCGCTGAAGCCTGTTTCAAGAGATGCGAACTGATTGAGCTCGTCGATGCTGAAGGCTATCTTGGTAAGGGGGATCGCGGAAGCTGGTTCCGATGCGATAGCGTGGCCTTCGAAAGGCGATAGACAAGGCTTCCCACCGGGTGTCTTTGGTTCGTCGAGAACGAGGATGTTGGAGATGTCCTCAAAGACCGACCAGCGGAGACGCTCGAATGCGTCATTGAGAGGAATGGCCCCTCGGGTATTGGTCAAGCTTCCATTGGGGTGATCGGGCAGAGGCGCGGTAGTCATGCTAAGGCCGAAAGCTGTTGTGTACAATTTGAAGTGATTTTGCGAGCATACCTAGGTACCTCGGCCACACGGGTGTACGGCTTTGACGGGGACCCACTCTGGACCCTTGCACCCAATCCGGCTTAGGACCGAGGCTCGCCAGCCCCGGGCCTTATCAGATCGGCTAATGTCTGACGGACCTTCATACCTGAACGACGAACACACCGATGCATCTACTCTGGCCTATCACGTCTATCTGGGTGCCTGGGGACGACATCTACGTGAGCAGAGCGCCGACACGAGGACAGATAGGCGCTACAATCCGACAACCAGGCTGCCGGCTCACAACGCTCGCGCTACAAAGCAATGTCACATCTGCGCAACCATGTTCACATGCCAGAACAAAGAACCGTGGCCCGTGAAGTCCAAAACCACTTGTAGGTCGCGTCGTGCGCACTTCGAAACGACATTGTTGGATCCATAGTGCGAGATATCCACGAAGGGGATCGCTAGTAATTTGTGATCCCATGTCTATGCGTCAATTCCCACTACGACTCTTTGCCTCTCGGATTCATCGCACATATCATTACCGGCAATATTGTGGTACTGTGTGAGGCTCAACCCAAGCAAATGGCAATGTAAGTTCCGCACTCTACGCATACTTGTCCGAAGTTTCAGCGACTAACATCTGTCAGCGGTGCGATAAACCAGTCCAACTCTCCCCTTCTCAAGCTCCCCGGAGAGCTCAGGAATTGGATCTACACATACGTCCTCGATAGCAGTGTCACTCATGTCAAGCAGCGATATCAAAGCGTTGAATCTGGGTCAAATTAGGAATCAACGTATCCACCGACGTCTATTCTCTACTAATACCAATTCTTATGCTATACCTCGACTCTTATGCACCCTTAGAATAGTAGCTCTTCAGGACTAACATAAGGTTGTCCAAGGCCTCTTTATCGCTGACACCATAGCCAGAGATGACCTTCTTGAAGGGCTTAACGGCACATGCGGACTTCACCTTACCCCAATCCTTCTCCGACAACTCCCCATCCTTTGGCCAGAATCTCACATTGTGAGCATTCACCTCCTCCAACTTCGCATTCGACCTCCAAAATTTCTCCACGAAGATTGTGTCCCAATCTGAGCCCTCCTTCGCACCCCTGAAGGCTTTGCTTAGACCCATGCCAAACCGAACAAAACCCTCCCGGATTGATATCGGCTTCGCGTTCACCAGACTCCACCTATTCAACTTGATGTCAATCTTGACATGCTCGTTCTTCTTGGCGTACTTGAGAAGACCGTGAAGAACTGGTAGGCGAGGTGTACGTTCAGGACCCCAGCTCGACACATACGTGACCGTGCGCATCGTGCGATCCAGAAATGCATCGCTCAGATTGAGCACTCTGACCAAATGCAGGCCCCGATCTTCTTCGACGCGCAGATGGTTGATAGACATCTCCAGATACCTGGCCTCTCTGCTGAACTCTTTGCAGATTTCGGAAATGCGATTGTACGGTGCATTACCGCGAGCCGGATCTTGTAGGAAGGATTTGCCATCCTTTGGTACTGAAATGGCTATAGTACCGGGGTCGTCGAGGACATACCTCCAGATGTCTTGCCGGATCTCAGGAGGAAGTTGGAGCAGAGCGCTCTCACCGGTTTGATAGCGCGAATACTTGACCTTGTTCATCGTGAAGCTGCCGACTTCATCTCCTTGCATGGCGAACATGACCATAGTGTACTTGGGATGTAGGCGCCAAGTCGTTCTCAGATCCGCGTTCTTGAGAACCTGTTCCTTCGTTCCGCCTCCCATGCGCATTGTGGAAGCGTCGATCGACAGTATGGAGCTGGTCGTGATGGCTCCAGTGACCTTGTCGAAACAAGCGAGCTTGATGATGGCGCCATCGAGGGTGATCGCGAAGCGCTCGGCTGATGTGTCGTTCTTGTAGTTTCCGGTATAACGCGTAAGCGTGGCAGCGCTGAGAGCCATTGCGATTGCGAAAGGGAGAGTAGTGAGAATGTAAGAGCGAAAGATGCTGATTGCGAAGTAGACAGCTGGAGAAGTGTTGTTGTGCAAGCGAAAGTTGAGAAGGTCGATAAAGCGGGGGCGCGTGTTGATACAAACGCTCGCATGCTCATTCACCCTCACTTCTCACCGGTCCTGGGACTTTGTGCGCATTCATCTCATCCTCAACGTAAGCAAATTCGCGGTCAATTTGAATCAGCCAGACAACGCGGCTATTCAGCGCGCCAAAACTATGCCCATCGCGCGGCTGCGCCCCGAAGTCAAGAGGATCTTTGGGACGCGGAAGGCTTGCGTGAGTATGGACGTGCATGTAATTGTCGGGCACGGCTGTTGTGAGTGACACATCACGTTTGTTACACATCGCGCGGAGCGGTAACGGCCCTTGAGCTTTGAGTGGATACGTATTGATGGAAATGTTACCGGTCTCCAGGTATGCTTGTGAGCTACCTTGCGAGGATGAGTCATTGGATGTATCGAGCAGAGGCATCATACGCGACCACACACCGCTGCGACCTCTGCGACTGAACGATTAGCCCGAGGTGAAGGCGGTCGGAGCAAAGCGCCCTACGTCATCTCGTTGCCTAATCGCTCTCATGTCAGTCTCGCCTAGCTTTACGCTATCAATATCTTGTTGTGACCGTCACTTCAGTTACTCTCTCAATCTCTACCCTTGGACAACCCACGACACTGCAAGATGGTCGTACTTACCGATAGCTCGCCTTGGAAGCAGGCAATGTAAGCGCGAGAAGCCGCTAAGATGCATTTTAGCATTGATACTAACGATGCACAGTGCTCTGCGCAACCAACGCACCTCCCCGCTGCTCAAGCTGCCTGGCGAAATTCGCAACACGATCTACGGCTACGTACTCGGGCACCCAGTGTGGTATGTCGGTAACTCTCACGAGAAGCGAGATGCCGAAGGCAACGTCTACGAAATCTTCCGACTGTACGAAGAGACCCAGCCGGGCCGCCACAAGCCGAGGGCGTCCTTCGGTCCGTCCTTGCTGGGTGTATCGCGCCAAATACACCTGGAGGCATGGCCACTTTTCTATTCATCAAGCACCTTCGTAGTCGGCAACCCAAGATTGTTCTTCTTCTGGATCGACTCACTGCCTGAAGTTGCGCGGCTTGCTGTCGCCTCCGTCAGTTTGGCTAAACTCGCCCTTCATGGACGGGTTAATGGTACAAGCGTGGATCTCGACGTGTCTGACGCCTTGTACCCCCGCACGTCATTCCCTCCCCTCGACATTCATCAAATAAGACAAGCCCCCACACTCGCCTCTTCCTGGGAATACAATGTCCTCACATCCTTGGGTGACGTGTACTGGAGACTACCCGGCCTGAAGCATCTTCACCTCACTGTCAAGGTAACATACGGCGAGTTTCAGGGGTTCCATGCCCCGTATCGTCGAGTCGAGGACCAAGACATTGAGGCCAAGGTGCGCTCGACGGTGGCGAATGTCTTCGCGCTTCCCAATGTACACGTTGACTCGGATGTGCTTCTTTACAAGAGATAGAGCGGCGAGAAGAGCTAGGCTGCTCTACCAAAGCAAGATTACGATCAAGTAGTAGCAGCGGGAAGGCTACGTTGTATATTAGTCGAGTCGAACACACAACAAAAGACACATGTCGGATGCTAACGTACTCTTCCTTTGAGGAATACCATGCAATGAACCATAAGTTACTACTATACATACGCACTTGCGACACCACCCGCTCAACAAAGCGGACACTTCAAGCCCACCCTCCCCATCATCTTCCCCACTTCCCCATTACCCTCCTGCTCGCCACTCTCCTTCTCCAAACACCCCCGATGCCACAAATGCCTACAAGCAAACAGCACAAGCCCCTCCCCCCTCTCCCCCTCCTCCTCCCCATCATCCAACACATCCGCCTGACTCGGTCTCTTCCCCTTCGCCTTCCTACTGCCCTCCCCCTCCTCCCCCTTCCCCACCATCTCATCCCTCACTTTCCTCCTCCCCTCCTCCCTCTTCTCCCACGCCTCCCACACACCCGGGCCCGCACCAGGCCCCCAAGCCCTCTTCTTACACCCCTCGCAGACCTGGCCGCGGGGTCTCCACCCGCGCTTCCGCAGCTCGGTGATCTCGTGGACGTGCTCGAAGGATTCTTTATCGAGGAAGCGGTTTGCGAGGCTGAGGATGGTTTCTTCGAAGGTGTAGGCTGCGAAGATTTCGGATAGGACGGACCGGAGGTCTGAGAGCGAGGGCGAGTAGGTGTGTGTTGCGCGGGTGAGGAAGCAGCGGAGGATGCGGAGGAAGGAGGGGTTGGATTGGGTGTGGCGGAGGGGTGGGCGGGTTGTTGGGTCTGAAGTTGAGTGAGATTGGGGGGTCTTTCGTGTGGGTGGGATGGTGGTGGACGTGAGGAGGGCGGAGAAGGTTAGTTGGATCGAGGAGCGGAGAGTGGATACGATGCGAGCGGTGTCGACGGTATCTGCTGGGTCAATGCCCGTTGATGTGATGGATGCATCATGGTCAGCAACGGCGCTGGATGTGTCTCTGATGAGTCTCACGGACGTGTCGACAAGCTCAAGCCATAATAGTTCGTCTGGCGCAAGATCCCCTTCACGAACCTCTCCGTATGCCGACTTCCGTCTGTCGATAGTTGACTCTGGCCGCGGCTCTTTGGATCGGGTCTGTCCTTGACATAACCATATGCCAACCTTGATGTACTTCTGGATGTCTTCGAGAAGATCGTGGACTGCTTCCTCGGTGTTGGCCACATCTGGCGTCTCTGATGCGGCTCCGATGAGACCTATCAAGGCAGTCTGAAGCGTACCAAGATGCTTCACTAGTCGGTCCATGGCTCCCTGGACTAGGCCATCTCGAGCCATCAAAATGACCGCACCGTCAATGACACCGCTCTTCTCCAGCGCGGGCAGAACAGGATCCAATCGGAGGTCGCTGGACTTCAACGAGCCGACGAAGTCTGCGACATGCGCGCTATTGTAAGTACACATAAGCTGGACGTAGTTCTCGATGAATCCAGAAGGTAAATTCTCATCGATGGGCGCAACACTGCCTGTCGCAGCTTGCTCTGGTTCGATCAGAGCCTGTAGATAGCGGTACTGCGCATCGCTTCCGGCTTCGATAGCGTCGAGAACTGGCTCGAGCAGGTCGGGCGCATATTGCTTCAATGTCACCGCAGTTTGCGACGCGTCGATCGCAGCCAAGTCTGCAGCACGACTGACGATGACTGTCTTGACCTCGTTCAGCTGCTTCTTGTTAACACCTTTGCTTGGCCGAAAGATGTCAGCAATACATCCAAACACCGCCTCTTCGTCTTCTTCATCGTCAAGGTACGTTTCGAGCAGCTTAGCGTATTGGTGTGCGCTCCGGTACACGGACTTGAGCACGCGATGAAAGCCAGCCTTCTCGAAGAGCGGCACAAGATTCTGTGGACTGGGTGGGTGGTAGATGGAGAGAAGATACTCGACTGAGAGCTGACAGTCTTCCTTGATCGTTTCCGTAGGGTAGTCGCAGAGACCGATGAGGACTTGATGCAGCGACGTGCCTGGAAGCATTATATGTTGCGGGTATTTCGGTAGATTTCGCGCGACGAACATGTAGAAGTAGATGATGTCCTCCGGGTCGAAGATGTCGGTATTCATGATCCCGAAAAGGTAGTTGATGATGGACTGGCGAGTGGGAGTGAGAGCGGACCCTTTGTGCGTGCCGTTAAGCTGGTCCCCGTTTGACGCATCTTGCTCGCCATTCAAGAAGCTGTCTTCAAAGGCCTCGTTCAACATGCTCATGAAGCTCGAAGCGTCAAAGTCCAAGACGAGCTGCAGATACGGAAATGGAGGCTCTGGGCTGCCGTCAGACTGTGTCAAGATGACATCGCCCGAGCCTGGAGGCCATTCCATATTCTTACCCGAGAACAGGAACCGATACATGTCCTTCTTGGCACTATACGCTTGGTCATCCTCCATGAACGCGCCGCCAGGATACACCCGCCCGGTGAAGGTGTACGCTAGGTAAGGAAAGATCTTCTTCGCGGCAGTGAGATAGATGTTCTCCGTCTCATTTACATCGAAGTCTACGAGCTTGATAAGCTCAAGGATGTTGGTGAGTGGTGTGATGTAGTCGCCGATAGCCCTTGTCCACACGTAGATCAGCGCGTCGTACAGTACGTATTGTTGACATAGCATGGTGACTTGGTTCAAATCCATCGTATCGGTGCTGAGCCGGCAGATCATCTCTTCGAGCTGGGCGGAGCGATTGGCTGAGGCGTAGAACGTGATGAGGTCCTTCAAGACGTTCGGTGGTACTGCAGTGATCTCATCGTCTTGTATGTATGGCTCGAGGGTTTCGAAGAAAGCCTTTTCTGCTGAAGCCTCTTCGTAGGTATCGTACACGTCTTCGAACAAGAAGTCGTATTCCTCCATGCATAGTAAACCTGTGAAGACCACCTCAGCAAGCTCTTTCGCTCGACGCTCCTGAGCATCACGATCTACGTCGTCCTGTCTTGAGAAGGAATACTTCAATGAGGCCGTAATCATCTCGAGCAGCTTTGGCTGTACAAGCGCATGGCGTGCTTTGTCATCGTCGGGCAGTCCGACGGTGAGCTTGTCCGCATCCCCGAGGTAGTACGAAGTCGCGAGACCGATAGCGGCAATGTAGTCGCCATCTTCCATCAATGCCAGCAGGCGGTCAGCCCAGTTTGAGAGAGTGCCGATGGAGCAGTCGTTGAAACCCAGGAGAAACAGCCGACCCTTGTAAGCCCGAAAGCTCATGTAGAAGGCATCTGCCACAACACCATGTAGCGACGCATCTTCTTCATTAAGCTGCTCAACTACCGGCTTGAGCTGTCGTGAGAAAAGGTCCGAGTGGTAGATGTGCTTTTGCAGCAAGTCGAATGAGTCTGTCACGCGGAGGGTGTTGTCTTCCAAGATCATGAGGCGCTGACTGATGGTAAGCATGCTGAGAACTGATCGACTCAGCCACTGAACAGCAACAATAGCTTCTTCCGCCTTCCAGCGACTCCGAGGTCTGAAGCGAAGCTCAACAGGCTTCTCTCTTTCCGACGGGGGCGGCAGGATGGAGTCGACTTCGAGTATGGTCAGGACGTTAGACCAACAGTACACGAGCTTTGTTTTGGATATCGCGTTCTCGGAACCGTCGGAGGAACTCTTCAGCTTGACAGCCGGAAACCAAGCCAAACACCCGCTCAACGCGCTGTGCGCTTCCACATCCTTGGGTCGGGGCGCTTTGTGCTGGGTCTGTGCAACCGGAGTAGTCGAGACAATGACTAACAGATAGGGTGTTAGCAGTGCGGTCAGACCCATATTGTCGGTTGGCTGCTCAACGTTGCCTAATGGCAGGGGAGCGAAGGCCAGCACAGAACTTGGTTTCCGAGGTTTCTCCAGTGACTTTGCCGACAATGGATATCGCCCCAAGATCCGCGTCGTCTTGACCGTCCGCGCGATTGCCCCTAGCCCACGTGTCGCGAGATGGGAGAAGGCCATGCCTGCGTCATCTGCGGAGACGAGGGCTGTGCGCCGGGTGCCGAGGAAACCCAGATGCAGAATGGCTACGCCCGAAACATGGCCATCTGACTTGTTGTCCTCGAGAGACGCCCTTTCCAGAGGCGGGATGTGCAAGAATGGCTTGGCCGGCTTCGCCAACTCCCATGTGAAGATGTGACCTGTCGCATGCCCCCCTGCAATGGCCGAGTGATCAGCAGCGATGGCTAGCGAAGTGATGGCACCGCATTCGACAGCCTTCGTACCCGGTCCAATGATGGACTTGAGGACCTGCTGGTAGTCGAAGATGAGGATGAAGCCTTTCGACGTTCCTATCGCCAACGAGACCGTCACATGTAAGCATGTGGGCCTGCCGAAGTTGCGCTTGCCAATCTCCGAGAAGACTTGTCCAGTGATCTTCTTCAGCTTTGTCCATCGCACGACCTCCCACGGCGCTTGAGGTGTCTCGGACCCGTCATCGGACAGTTGTTGGAAGACGAGATTGCTCGATACGGAGGATTGTCGCGAGTGCGGCGAAAGGAAGGCAGGCGACTGGCCGCGTGGCGTTGGTCCAGGGGATGGGGATAGGCGGGACGAGAAGCGGCGTTCGAATGGCTGCAGTGAGGTCGGTCGGTGAGGGCGAAGCGAGTTGTGCGACACGGGCACGCTGCTTGTGGGTGAGGATATACCGGAACCCTATCTTGGTCAGAGGATTCCCATGTGGATGTGCCATGCTGCATACCTGAACCGAGGGGGTGTCGTCGGGTATGTCCGTCGAGGCAGGGCTACCTGCCACCTCTATAGTCGGTCGTATGGACAGCACTGATGCTGAATCATGCGTCTCTTCCTGGGGGCTTCTCCGCCGTGTCCTGGCAAACGTCAGGCCCTCGATACCGTTGTCTACCGACTGCACATCTTCGCTGTCCTCTTCGTCCGCGCTTCTCCGCTCGGTCGCGCTTCCCTCAGAACCATCTTCTTGTGTCTCGAAAGCGCCCATCGCGCCTTCCCTGGCGTCTATCTCGTCTCCATGGTCATGGTGAGCGCTGGAGTGGCTCTCTTCCGAATCTGAGCTCATCAGGCTCGTTCTGCGCAGGGCATTGCTTCAGGCGCACATCTGGTAGCTGTGGGTAGTTGCGCGATGTCTAGTATCTTTCTCTTGGAAGTTGTGATTCGTGGGTGTAATCGAGACGGCGCGGGGGTTTCGGTGATGGTATGCGGTACGGGTCGGTGCTGCCTACGCGAAGGCGAGTTAGGCGTGCGTCCGGGCGGGTAGCGCGGCAACCGAGGGCGTATGCGACTGGTGTCAAGGTCAGTGGAAGAGTGAAGGGCGCCCACGAGGACTGGCATGGACTGGCAAGGATGGCGCGTCTCGGGAGCTCATGGCGCAGTTCGCAGATCGCCGCATGTGCCGCGCCGTTGGTGAAGGTCCAAGCTCCAAAGAACGTCACTCGACGCGCAGCCAGGTACACTTTCCATTCACAACCCACAAATCACGATGCCTTCAATAGGACCCACCATGCCGCCGCACCTCTCCAAGCGCAGTCGCGACGACGACGATGATCGCGCATCGAGTCCAGAGTCCGGCGGCAAGCGCAGACGAGTCATCGGCCCAGCACCTCCACCTTCCGCATCCTCACCTCCGCGCACAGCTGGGCCTTCACTACCACCAGACACGCGATCACGGTCGAGCAGTGTGGACAGCGACGTCGGCCCTGCACCTCCGCCAGCTTCAAAGCCGGCGCGCGTGGTCGGGCCTGCTCCACCGCCAGCGCCTCTCGACGGGCGGCCGCCCAACTCCCAAGACAGCGACTCCGACAGCAGCGACGATGACTTTGGGCCCGCGCCGCCACCAGCTGGAGGAGTATCTTCAGGCTTCGACAGCACTATGGGCAAATCGGCGTTCGACACGGAACCGCAATTCAGCGACGCCCCGAAGAAGGCACAGCGCGACGAATGGATGACACTGCCCCCGACGCAGGACGACCTCGCCGCTAGAATGGACCCTACAAAAATGCGCGCACGCAAGTTCAACACAGGCAAGGGCGCAGGAGGCACTGGAGGCATGAGCAGCGCATGGACCGAGACACCAGAGCAAAAGCTCAAGCGGTTGCAAGACGAGGCCTTGGGCATAACCGCGCCCACCAATTCTGCGCCTGCCACTTCGGAGTCAAAGCGGAACAAGGAGGAGGAGAGGAGGGCACGCAAGATGCGCGAGAAGATCGATGCCACACGCGGCAAGAGTCTGGTCGAGCAACATCAAGACAAGGGCACCGGCAAGGAGAAGGAGGACGATCCTAGCAAGCGCGCATTCGACTATGAGAAGGACATGGCTGTGAGCGGCTCGCTCAACCACAAGCAGAAACGCGAGATGCTCAGTAAGTCAAAGGGTTTTGGAGATCGCTTCTCGAGCGGCAACTTCCTGTAGCCGCGAGACGTAGACGTATGCATGATACGATTGGATCAAGTGTGGCTTCCGTTCCTGTCAAAGGAGTGGTGTAACGGGAGCTCTTTCTATGCCCAAAATGCACCACCACATACCGATTGGGCGAGGATCCCCAGGCGCTACCACCTGATTGGCTCGATATACGCGGATGACGGAACTCGTCCCCGGCCTGATTCGACCGCAGCGCCTTGACTCACATCACGCCTTCCGCTTCCGCCGGCACGTTATGATATACCGAATTGAACCACAAGCGGAATAGACTCGAGATAGTGCAAATGATTCATTCTGACCCAGAGTACGTGTGGCTCAGCGTGTCAAGAGCTACTATGCTGACCATGAACCGGTGTATCGTAGCAACGTATATATTGAGCGACCCTCGAATGCATGAAGTATAGAATCCTATCCCCACCATGGCTTACAAGACCCCCAAATTCGAGCAGCTCGTACTAGAGACGATAAATCAATTTCACGTCCCCGGTCTTTCGCTCGCAGTTGTACAAGGCGACGACATCTACTCCAAGGTAGCTAAGTCTCTCCACAAGAAGCACTGCGCATCACTCACACCGCTCAGGCCTATGGCTATTCGGGACTACCCGACACCCAAGCGACTACAGACACCCTGTTCGACCTCGCAAGCACCTCCAAGTGTACCACTGCGGCGGCTGTGGCTCTTCTCGTAGACGATGAAAAGTACCCAGACGTACAATGGACAACACCCGTGTCGAAGATCCTCCCCGGCGACTTCGTTCTTCCTGACACTTATCTCACGGAGCAAGTCACCATTGAAGACATCCTTAGTCACCGGAGTGGCATTGCAACTCACGACGAGTCCTACCTCAGCGCGCGCGCCAAACACCCCGACAATGCGAAGTCCTTGACCCGCAATCTGCGCAATCTCGAATTCGTCAAACCACTTCGTACCGAGCACATCTACTGCAACATCATGTTCAGTGTCGCTGTGCACCTTATCGAAACTGTGACTGGTATGCCCTACACCGACTTCATCCGGACCAAGCTCTGGAAGCCACTCGACATGATCAACACATTCCACGATGTACCCGACATTCAAGCCCGCAGCGAAACCGATCGACGCGCAAGGCCATACTACTGGAACAGTGAATCCGAGTCTCACGTCGCACTCCCTCACTACCCTCCAGCACCAGAAGGCCACGGCGCAGGCTGCATCTTCAGCAGCGCAGGCGACTACGCTAAATATATCCGCGCGCTCATCAAACGCGACCCGATTCTGTCTGAAGACAGCCACAAAGCGCTCGCCACGCCTCGCAGCTTCGATCTCCTCGGCGACGAGAAATGGTCCATACCCTACAAGAGCGACGAGCTCTACACCCTCGGCCTATCCCGCACGAGCTATCGCGGACACACGGTCATCGGGCATTACGGCTCGGTGCCCGGCTTCAAAGCCATGGTTTGCTTCCTCCCCAAGTTCGCCTGGGGCCTCGTCATCTTCGGGAACTCAGATGACGCCATGTACGTCAACGACATCCTGAAGTTCACATTGCTGGATGATGTTCTCTGCGTACGCGACGAAGACCGCGTCGATTGGAGCGCGTTCTTCAAGAACTTCCAGGCCATGGACGATGTCGAGGAGGCGGAGAAGCCGGATTGGACGAAGGTGGAAGATGCGCAACCGCTTGACGTACCTCTTGACACGATAGTCGGTAGCTACCACAACGTTGGGTACAAGAGCCTCGAAATCGAGATGAAGGACAGCAGGCTTGTTGCGGATTGCACAGATCGATGCTTTCCGTATATGCTTACGTTCGCACACCTCAGCGGTAACACATTTGCGGTGGAAATGCACGGCGTGTGGGAGGGGAAGCTGTACAGTACCATTCGAGGCGAGATTCGAATAGAGGCCGGGAAGGTTGTCGCGGTCGGTGTAGGGCTCGAGAGCGACGTGAAGGGCGGTCTTATCTGGTTCGATCGTGTAACGTAGCCCACAGGCAACATCGTTACACCGTAGGCTTAATCACTCCGCCATGGCCCTACCACCGCGACTACATACCACTGTACAGCACCGTAAAGCACTGTAGTCAAGAATCCCAGGAGACTATATTAATCAGAACCCACCGCTGCATCTCGCTTGCATGTTCGTAAGGTGTTTAGTAAAGGCTACCCACGATTATCACGTTGCTGACTTTGACGTTCCCCAGGGCTCGCTGGCGCGCTACTCAACTACCCCTCATGGTGCGACCCGTCTCTCGCAACCTGTTGGATGTCATCCGTAGAAGGCTGAAACACACGCTGGTGGCCTTGAATCTTACGTCAGATATGACGCATGCACTCAATTCACCCCGTCTTTGCTCTCGTACTTGACTGCAACTCCGGCACAACTCACGAATGCTATGGCCAACGATCGTGCTATCGCACTCAAGGCGCAGATTCGTGACGCAGCTCAGGGCCAGCAGCAGTTGCGACCGATATTCACGTCCTTGAACGGGGACAACTCATGGCTTCTTTCCTTTCCACGTCCAACCGAAGAGCGGACTACCAGCGGAAAAGCATTCTACCACGTTGTACACGACCCATGGTTCAACGGCCCTGTCAATCTATTGGGGATTTGGCTAGCAAGCTTCAGCCTGTCGTCTCCACCCGCCGTCAACAACGGCAGCGATGTAGAAGCAATTGCGCGCGACGTCGGAGCTGCAGCCGCAGACGCCGGGTTCCTTCCCATCACAACACCCATCACTCAAGATGCTTCCACGATTGACGCGATCTTCATACGCTTCCACTACGACGACCATCTGCACAAGCCGACTCTGCTGACATTCGCATCAAGTATACCCGTGTTCGCGACAACAGAAGCGAGCGCGATCATTCGCGGCTGGAACCACTTCGACAACATCATCACCACCCAAGACCTGGAGCCGGGTATCTTCAACGGCGACTGGACATTGCTTCATCCAGGCAGCCCATTACCAACCTGGCTAACCGTCTTCCGAGCCCGCGGCCACCACGAGCTCAACTTCGCTAGCGCAATCATCTACACGCCTTCACCGGACGTGCACGAAGCGGTGTTGTACTCCCCGCACGGCATGCGCACCTCCCAGGAGTCTCTGCAGACCCTTTTGCGTAGGTCAACGCCGGACTTCAAGGTGCTTGCCCTTCTTCACGGGCTCAAAGAGAGTTGGACGTTCAATTGGCAGACGACGTTCGGCGTTGCGACGGGGTTGGAATTGCAAAGGCAGACGGATGCTAAGTACTGGATTGTTACGCACAACTCGCCGCTGAGGTATCGAGGGCTGTTGTGGGCGATTGTTACGGATATCTCTCGAACGTTGGAATGGGCGCTCTGGAGGGAGAAGGAGAAGGCACCGGGTTCGGAAGAGAAGAAGGTGAATGTTGTTGACGTAGAGAACGGCGGGTTCTTCGTGCTGCAGTAGCTTCCAGGACGCACTTTCCAGATCTCGCTTGTACCCTGCGCCTCTTTCGTATTCAGCGCGGTGATTTGTGAACTGTCTTCCACTTCTTATCCAGCGCGTCGTCGTCGTCACGGTCCGGCTCCTCGGCCCGCTCTCTACCGACAGCAGCCACGTCTCCTCCTGCCCTTGCCTTCCTGCTTCTTTCGTCGCAACATGCCCCTCAGTAACCGTCGCGCCCCAAACGAACTT